CCGTTTGAAAGTAGACACATTTTTGGATGTTTTCAGGTTCTTGGTAAAGGAGTTCCACAGCCTGGGTCCCTCATATCTAATAGTTTTTTGGGCTAAAGTTGTGCGAGTCAATGGGAGATGAAAATTAGAGACTTGACGAGTATAATGGGAATGAACATCAAAATTCCGGGTAAAAATTGAAGAAATGGAAGATGGTGAGGTGCCAGAAGCAGATTGATACATTAGAGACCCAAGCTGGTGGAAATAAATATCTTTAACTTTCAAAAGTTTGTGTTTGAAAAATAGAGGATCAGTATGGGCATTAAAATCAGTAAAATTAATTATTCGAAGAGCCCGTTTTTGTAAAAGGAAAAGCCTATTGAGATTACCGAGGGAACATGCTCCCCAGGCTAGAATACCATTACTAAGGTATGACAATATTAATGTATTATACAGGGAAACTAAAATTGTGGGAGGGATAAAATATTTGATCTTGTTGATGACACCTATGTTTCTCGCAATAATTTTACATAAATAATCTATATGATTAGTCCATGTTAATTTAGAATCTATATATAATCCAAGAAATTTAAGACAATCTACTTTTTCCATGGCCATGTCATTAATTAATATGTTGGAAGGGAGATTACTGGCAGTTTTACTAAATAACATATAGTTGGTTTTCTTAATGTTAAGTGACAGCTTATTAACTGCAAACCAATTACAGATAGATTTTAACTCATAATTAACTGTGTTAGTGAGAGTAGTCAAATTGCTATTCGAGATAAATAAGTTGGAGTCATCAGCAAATAAAATAAATGAAAATACATCAGATGATTTAACAAAGTCATTAATATAAATCAGAAAAAGCAATGGGCCCAAAATTGACCCCTGTGGAACACCACATTTTAGGGCCTTACAAGTTGAATTTGAACCGCCTATAGAAACATACTGTTGTCTGTCTGAAAGGTAACTTCTGAACCACTCTAGGGCTACTCCTCGAACACCATAATAAGAAAGCTTATATAGCAAAATGTCATGATCAATGGTATCAAAAGCTTTTGAAAGATCGAGGAATATCCCCAGAGTGTGTTCAGAGTTATCTATGGCAGTTGTTACTTTATCAACAAAATCAAGTATTGCATGTGTAGTTGAATGATTACTTCTAAATCCGTATTGACAGTCGGTTAAAATATTACATTTAGTAAGAAATTGGATAATACGAACATAAACACATTTTTCAAAAATCTTTGAAAAACAGGTCAAAATAGAAATGGGTCTATAATTGATAACTGAATGAACATCACCATTTTTAAAAATAGGAACAACCTTGGCAGTTTTAAGTGAGTTAGGAACAATGCCAGTTTTAAAGGAAGCGTTGATAATGTGGGTAATAGGTCTACTGATGGCAGTTATAGTGTTTTTAATAATAGAAGAATTAATCAGGTCGTGACCGGAGCTTGTTTTGTTCTGTAAATTGTAAACGATATCAATCACTTCCTGTTCAACTACTGGTTGTAAAAACAAAGACCTTGGGTTCGGATCATTAAGAAAATCAACAAATGAATCATGTGAACTTGGAATACTTTTAGCGAGATTAGGGCCTAAATTAACAAAATAATCATTAAAGCAATTTGCAATATGAGTAAAATCATTGATTAACTTGCCTTCGTGCATGATACTACTAATATGTTGAGAGGATAACTTATTATTAAGGACTGAATTTATGACCTTCCACGTGTTATGAATGTTGTTCTTTTCCTTCTCAAACTGACAAACATAATATTGCTTTTTAGAATTTCGTAAGAGACTAGTCAAAATATTTTTATATTTAATATATTTGAGTTTCCGCATGTTTGTCGGATTAGCAATATAATGACGATATAATTTATTTTTCTTGTTAATTGATTTAAGAAGAAGTTTAGTAATCCACGGGGCAGTTTGGTTAGAATTGGACTTTGACGTGGGCTTATGTAAATTAGGTGGAATATTTTTATCAACTTTATCATTAAAATTGTCAATAAATAAATTAAATGCATAATCGGGATTATCACAGGTAGTAATGTTAGACCAGTCGGTTGTATGCAGATCTTCTTTAAGCCTCTGGATATTGAAATGAGTGAATTTACGGGAACCAACATAGTTAAAATGATTAGAGGAGGCACTAGATTTATGAGAGGACATTATCATAAAAATTGGTAAATGATCGGAAATATCAGACAAAATTATGCCCGAGTTGTGAGATGGTAACACATTCGTCAAAAAATTATCAATTAGCGTAGCAGAAAAATCAGTTATTCTAGTGGGCTTATCAATTAATGGTAAAAAAGAATAAGAAGTAATGAGATCAGTAAAAGCCTGTGTGCTGGGGGCTGTATGATTGAGTAAATTAATATTAAAATCCCCAGAAATAATACAATTTTTGTTGGAAGATGTCATTCTACAGAACAAATTTTGAAAAGGTGGTAAAAAATCAAGTACATTGACAATTGGAGGTTTATATAAGACGCCTGTGATAATATCCTTAGTTTTGGGAAACGAAATTTCAACAAAAAGAGATTCTAAAACATCTTGAGAATGGGTAAGATCCTGTCTAATTTTAAAATCGAGGTCACAGGAAATATACAGAGCTACGCCTCAACCCATTTTCCCCTGTCTGTTATTAACAATAAGTTTATACCCTGGTAAAAAATAATAATTATGGGGATATGTTTTCAGCCAGGTTTCAGATAATGCGATGACCGAGAACTTATATTTCAATGTAAGCAACAAAAGTTTAAGTTGATCGAAATGTTTTTGAAGACTCCTAATATTGATATGAAGTAGAGAAAATCCATCAATATTTTTATAGGTCCCCGAGAACTGTTCACTAGAGTAGTATTGTGAATTGTTAAATAAATGGAAAGGATTATTTGGGTCAACATAATCAGGCATACTTTACTTTACAGGCACACACAAAAACAAGGAGACAAAGACAAGTAATTCAAATACTAAACAATTAGGTTAAGTGATTGAAATGAGCACTGATAATCAAATTATCCTTTTTAAAAGATGTATGGATCGACATCCAAACAGTATATTTGTACTAGGCCGCCACGAACAATATACACGACAATGTACATCAAAAAGAAACTATGCGTATTTTTACTAGTCGCGACACTCGCAGCCCTTGGTCCAGGAAGGGCAACTCAACATAGGCACTAACTAGTCCAACCATGGGAATTTGTCAGATAGTTATTTGAGTTTGTTGAGGTCGTCAGCACAGCCGATTATGATGCGGGCACCACTCTTTTTCCGAACTTCGATGCGTCCATCTTGGGTCCAGACTTTCTCCACCGTGGGAAGACGTCTGGCGGTGTTTAGCCAACCTTGTCGCACTTGCGTCAAACTCTCATGAACAAAAATGTTTTTTCCTTTAAATTTTGACCTCAGGCGGTAGAAGGAGACCGCGTGCCGTAGTCCAAAAATTTCACGACGACAGGTCTGGAACGAACATTTTCAGACTTATCCAGGCGCGAACCGATACGATGGGCGCGGTCAATACTGTTCAGGCCTAAATCCAGGCCCAGGTGGTGTTGCGCAACGTCGATAATCTTTTTGTGAGTATTCTCGATCTCCGGCGATGCTGGCTCAGGAATGCCGTGAACAATGAGCGTATTACGGCGACTGTATTGTTCTTGTTGCTCGATCCTTGATTCAAGATGGCGCACATCATGCTGCAGTTTCGCAATGTGTTCATCTCTTTTGATGAACTCGAGCTGCATAGCCTGGTGTAAGTTGTGAGATATAGCATCGGAGAGGGCAGGAATGATAAGGTCAAGAACCGCCTGGGACTTGAAGGCCTCAGATATAGCAGTAGCTAGGGCAATGGGGTCAATAGACGCTTCAGGGGTAGACACTGTTGCTGCCGAGGCTTGACGTTTTGGCGGCTCGGTAAGGAGGCTCGGTAAGCACAAAGTTGGCTGTTGAGCAGCGCTAAGAAATTGGGCTCTGGTTTTTGACACGCATTGAAGTGCTATCACAGTCAGCAGTTTGCAGCAGTTTAATTTACTTTCACAAAACTTTTAAATCTTTGCTTCAGCTCTTGTTGAGAAAAGGTACCATTTGTGTCTGATCTCCGAGTTTCCATGTCAGCACTGAACAGCTAGAGAGGGCCGACAAGACAACCGAAAATGGATATTGAACAGGAATCTTTGATATTGAATTTGTTCATATATTCATGCACCATATCATGGAAATCTGTTAATGTCTTTTGATTAAGTTGGGGCTTAGAAAATGTGACCGGCTCCACAAAAAAGGGTGTTAAGTCGCGCTGTGCATTATTGTGTAATGGTCCGCTCAACATCGAGATGGTGAACATTTTGTCAAAATGCGATTTTGTCATGAATGACATCTTTAACACCTACAGTTTCAGGTTTCATTCACAGATATGTTGATTTTGATGAACAAAGTGGATTAAAACCAACAATTTTGTGTGCATCGTTCTGTTGTTTGACAACAAAGCCGGCTATTTCAAAGCCTGTTTTCTCAGTTGTGTAATTTGAACTCCAAGGAAATAATTAATATGAAAATATGTCATATCTCAAGAACGGGAGGGACTATGGAGCTCTACTACATGTATATACCAAATAAAAGCTTACATTGTGGGCTTTCCAACCATGTATATAATTCAGTCTCACTTTTTTGTGACATAATACCCTTTTTTGTGGAGCCGGTCACAAATAGAGAAGATTTAACTGACTCAACTGAAAATTAGAAAAAAGGTAAGATTTTATCTTTGAAATGACTTGGTAGTACAGCTTAAACTGATCCTGTGTTGATATGACATTCGTAATTTTTTCCTTTAGGTGATATTTTCCAAGGATCACCTCAGTAATGAACATCTGTGCTAAGATTTTTCTGTGCTAAGATTTTTCTTGAAAGGCATAACTGTTCAAATGTACTACAATTATGCTGCAGTTTTAAGGTGTACATTTATCATGTAAACTTACATGTACCTTTTTTGTTTGTTTTTGTTACAGAGCCTTCATGGCATCTTGTCACCCCGTGAAAACAAGAAGTCAGCCAGTGAGGGGAGCCCAAAGCCTAATGGGATGTCATCACTAGAACGCCACGCCTCTAACTCCGATGGCAGCAGCGGTGAGCAGCCCAGAGCTCGCTATCAATACCAGTATGAGCAGCGCCCTCTCTACCATGATGATCAAATGACATATCGCAGCCGCTCTGCTGGTTACTCTGAGCAATCCGAGTATCACAGAGAAGACTACTATGGTAGGGATGACCGCATGCAGGTGGCCAAGCCTACATCCGCCCAGGGGAACCAATACGAGTCTCACTCTAGAAGGGAATTCAGGGGGGTGGAACAAGAGTGGAGTGGAAAACCACACCAGGGTGTCAGGTCAGCAGAGTTTGACCAATCTTATCAGAGGGATGCTCGGATCATGGCTCCCCAGAATGGCCAGCAGTATCGTAGCCCCACCCTAGAGAGGTCCACCTCAACAACATCCAGCAACGGTCACTATCTACCTGGACCGCCCAAACCACCCCGCCGCCAACAGTCTCTGAACCGCATCCATATCCCATCAGGCCCTGATTATGATGAGGATCCCAGGTCACGAAGTGACAGTGAGTTTTTCTCTACTTCTCCTGAATCGGGGAGCCCGAAGCAGTGGCAAACCAGCCCATTGATTGAGCCTCAGCGGGGGTTTGCCATTGTGGGGTCCCCTCAATCAGTACAAAACCAGAGTGTACCCCGTCAGCAAATACCACAGACAGTGGCCAGAAATCAAAACCATAAGGAGTATAACAGAGCAAATGCATATGCCAGGTCTCCAGAAATAATACCCACTAATCAGTATCCCCAGCAGAATCAATTCCCGAGAAAAGAAAGAGTCAGGTCACCAGCTTCACCCAATTTAGCCCCATCCCTCCCTCCAAGGCAGCCAAACATAGTAAGGCAGAGCTCTATGCCAGTGTCACATTCCCCACCACAGAATCTGCCAAGAAAACAAAATGTCCAACGAGCAGCATCTATTGGGAGGAGACCTGATGATTACAAGTTGCAGGACATGTCAAAAAATCCCAGGACTGAGCCCTACAATTCTTACAGACGCCCTGCTAATGCTGTACAGGATTCCCATTCACAGATGAAGGGCAGTGACCCCAAAACCAGGCCCGTCGGTGAACATAAAGGCCATTCCCAAAGGAGGCCTGAGCAGATGGGCAGGAGCCAACCAACACACATCCCTGAGAAAATCAGACAACGGAAGATCAGCTCCCCAGAGCAGAGCTCAAATGTGGATTCCAGAGATACAGAACGTCGCAGTTCAGTCCCACTTGTCACTACAGAAAAGTTCGTTGTCCAGGACAAACAGACAGCTACCTATGCGTCACCCCATCAGACCCATCCAACTAGTGCACAAAAGAAAGGTGGACTGGGAGCTCTTCTGATTTCTGACAAGGACCATGACAAAGTGACTGTGGAAGCTGTTGAATGGATGTCACAAGGCACTGAATACTTCTCCAAGCCAGAGTACGTCAGCGACAGTGGGATCAGCTCCCTCCGTGAAGTGCCTTCTGGGCCCAAGGTGAAGTCTTCTGGGCCTTCAAGACAAGGTGTCCCAACTTCTACTCGGGATCGTGAATATTCAATAAAACCCCAGTTGGCGTTTAATGAGGACACTGCACAGTATAAACTGTATGGGGATGGTCCCCTAGAATATTCCTCCTATGGAAACACCAGGGACAAGAAATTCCAGCTCCCGAAACCATCATCATATGAGCGACAGTTGTCAGAAGAACATCCTGGCTGGCAACGTCCTGTGTCACCTTATCACTCTTCGTATTCTTTGGAGAGAGAATTTGTGGAGCAGCCAAAAAGACGTTCCCCTCGTAAGGAATTGCTTCGTTCATCATCTCCAGAAAGCCCTGATCCTAATTGGGGGAGTAATGTTAGTCATGGCATGAGATCACGATCTGCTCAGCAATCCAACAGATATGATGCATGGCAGCAATATTCCAAATCAGACGGATCACCTTTGGCACAGTACAGAGAAGATGAAATAAATTCTCCAGTGGAGTATGCTGCCAAGATAAGCCATTATGACTTCCCGACAAAGCACTACTCAGCAGATCTAGAATCTACTAAACCTGCCTCATCTTCGTCCAGAAATGGCAGGGCACCAGTTGATGTTCAGCGCATCAAAGCCTCTCCAAACAGATACACATCTGAGACAGATGTCATTGGCACTGAACCAGCTATTGATGGTGGGGAAGCCTACTGGGGAATGGAATTCCAGAGGCCAGCAGAAAGGTTTTCACATCGACAGAGTCCTCCAGAGAAGGCATCAAGCTATCACAGCTCACAGAATTCGCAACAGTCATCTGTGGGGCCCAGGAGTAAGAGTCCAGTGTATTCTGGAAGAGGTTATGATGAGAGGGTTTCCTCCAATCGACCAGGTGCAGACATTCGTGAAAACCGTATCCAGATGACAGATGCAAGCGTCGTTCAAAGTGCCCAACCTGTAGAGAGGCAATCGCGTTATGATCGATTGAAGCAACATGCTGGAACCCAGAGGCGTGCTCAGAGTTTAGGCGGGGGCAGTGACACTCAACGTAGGAGCAAAAGCCTGACAAGGCTTGGCAGCCCCGACAAGATTCCTAGTAGCACTGAATTGCCCCAAAAGTCCTTGCAGAGTAAGTCAACAGATGATCTGGAAGAGCTGAAAAAGAAAGGTGTGTCTCGTGGAGCTGCTCTGTTCATCAGAATGATGGAGCAAGCCAGCATGGAGGAAGATGACTATGATCTATCTACCGTTGAGCCAGTGGCTATCGACAACTATGTTGGAACCCCTAAGTTATTCCAACCCCAAATCACCAAGACAGGGGAACCAATATTGGAGCTTAACAGGCCTGTGATGTCACCGGATTCTGATTCTAAAGTATCTGCTGTCAGCAGTTTTAGACTTGAATTTCCTAAATCAAACCACGAACCACTTCACTCAACAAAAATCAAAAGTTCTGTGGCCTATGCCTCCCCACCACCCAAGACTGAATTTTCAGACAATTCCCCACTTGTTATCACTCGTCGTGGTAAACAGGAAGTACCTGCTGAATGGTTGGAAAAACAGGACAGACTTAAACGCACCCCTGCTGTTGATAAACCTTCAAGCTCACTTACGAAGCCCAAATCTGATTCAGAGCAGTTTACAACAGTCCGTCATGGGAAACAGGAAGTACCCGTTGAATGGTTGGTAAAACAACAAAGCCTCAAACGTACCCTTGGTGGTGAAAATCGTCGAGCCCCTCTAACCAAATCAATGTCGCTAGATTCTGAGCCAATTATAGCAACAGATCAAAATAGTAATCAGAAAAAGCATGTCCGGTCTGTGACAAAAGGGGATCAACAGAAACGCTCCCCTTACGTTGAAAGTCCTAAAATCTCTGCAAGTAAAGCCCAGGCCACCAATTCTGAGCCAACAGTATATCATCACAGCAGGCAGCAAGTACCCACTCACTCACCGAAGAAAATAGATGTACCAAAAGGTACGCCTATTGTAGAGAAATCTCCCAGCTCACCAAGTAAACTCAACTCTCTTGATTCTGAGGCAATGCCCACTATTCGTCGTGGAAAACAAGTGGTACCTGTAGAATGGGTGGAAGTTCTGGAGCGTCTACGTGGCAAACCCAAAAGTCAAAGCAGTGACAGCCTTTCTCCTGTAGGCAGGCGGGATAAGGATCAGAGAGTCAGTGCTGACTTTGAAGATGCCCTCTCAGAGCTAGAACATATGTACTCTATTTTAGATCAAGAGGCAGATGATCTAATCTTCCGTAAGAGTAATAAATCCTTTGATCAGAGGATCGCAGAGCTTCCTCCTGCATTGCAGAAGCGCCTCAATGACCTTAAAGAGTATGCAACTTCCCAGCGTAACAAAAGGCGTGCTCGTCGAGAGAGGTCTAAATCTGACTTGGCATTGAAAACTAAAGCTCCTAGCAAAACACCAGCTTCTGATGGACAAAAGAAGCATGAGTTTCCTCCTTACAGGACATCAGGCAGTGCAGTAAAACCCACAAAATCTGCTTTTTTGGACATGCCTGTTAAAACCAGTGATCGTCGTCAACGAGCTCATCACCACTCTCCTCGAAATGAGCAGAGCAGCTCTGATGAAGAAACACCATCTCTGCCACGCAGCACTTATCAACTGTACAGGAAACCACGATCAGACAACAACCTAGGTCGTAGTTCTGACAGCAGTCCTGAATTGTCACACCGACACAATCATGCTTCTCAGTCCATTTTAGAGAGGCCAGGTAAAAAGTCTGACCCGCCAACCAGAAAGCCTGGCAGTTACTTTGAAGCAATCACAGGGTTGGATCTTCCCAAATACAAACCGAGTGCCAAGAACAGCGAGAGCAGAAGCCATAAACCAGTTGAGGATTCCCCAAATCACAACAAAGTGCAGGAAGTTGTGACCAAGTCCAGTGCTGCTGATGTTAACACAAGTCAATTTGCATTTGAGAAGTTGAATGCTGGTAGTCGACTGAGCATCGACTCGGTTTCCACAGTTGACAGCTTTCAGTTGTCCCAGCCGTTTGATGAAATGTCTTCAGAGTATCACAAGTTGTCTACTGACCACAGAATGGACATGGCTTCAGATGGGGACATCAGTCCAAGTCAGCAAAGCTCGTCCATGGAGTCACTTGTCCTGAGTGTTGCAAGCCCCGGCGGTGGCCCACTGCAGAGACAACCACCAAAGAGCAGGAGAAAGCAAGGAAAAGAGATCTCTACTGCAGACAGACAGAAGGCGGACGGTGAGAAGACAGCCAGCCGTGGTCCAGTTCCCTTGGCGACCTTTGATGAAGAGCTAGGTGAGTTTTGAAAAGTTTCTCCAAGGTTAATAGTTTGTTCACGTGTTACACAAAGTGTTTGTGAAATGCATGTCCTCTTGGCGTTCTAAATTGTTTTGTATGTGCATCATTAATTTGTTTGTAAATGTAGCTTCAAGCCCGCCTAAACTCAGCCCGAACAAGAACATTTTGAATGATGTGAGTAAAAGAAGTGAGTACATTTTTTGTGTGTGGCACTTTGAAAAGCTGCAAATTGCAAGCACCTTTCAACATTAAAAAGCAAAAGTTTATGCTTATGTCAGCAATAAAATGTAGGGCCACCCCATCTTACTCCCTATCTCTTGACCAAAGATGTCTTTAACTTTTGCATAATGATGAAGACAATTTGGTTGACTTACTGCCGTTATCCTTACTGACAAAAAAAAGTCTTGGGGATTTTATATAAAGAGAACTGAAGAGGTGCCATTATTTGTAGATTTGCATGTGCCTTGGGTAAAAGGGAACATTAAGTCACTCTCACCATGCACTTCAATGGACTGATCCAGTAAGCCCCTCCCACTGCGCACGTGGGCAAATTAACACGTGCTCCTCTCCAATGCCACACTGCATTTTCCTGCCGCGCGCATCATACGCGCGTGCACGCATGTCAGACATTTGTGCACGCACGTCGGACATAAATCACGGCTGTGATTGGTCAGAACACCTTGGGGCGGTGCTTACTGGATTGGTCCATTGCCAGAGAACTATTGGTGTGTGTGCACCAGGCTGCTGCACTGAGTATGTATGCCACAAGTTTGCTATGAATGACCAACTGAGTGACTGTGTAAATAAGTGAGATTTCACATAGGGGCCCTAGCTGAGAGTGAAGTGTTGGGAAAATGGAGGTGATGCACTTGCTGGAATAATGCGGATACAGAGCGGAGCTCTCTAATTTTTGCAGAAGCGTAGAAAGGTCACAAGCAATAAAAATAATATAAGGCATTTAGGCCTACATGGCCCTTTAAAGCGTCTCACGATTGAAACCAATAATACCAAGGTAATTGATATCTTGCCGCAGCCAGGTACTATCTGGCATTGGCAAGACAGTAACTTGCTAGATACCGGTAGCTGTGATCTCGCTGCGGTGAGTTACTGTCATTTAAAACGCTGGTAGTAAGACCGTGGGATATTAAGACACGATTTTGGCGATTTTGTAACTTGCAGCAGGGAGATAGTATCTCGCAGCAGGGAGATAGTATCTCGCAGCAGGGAGATAGTATCTCGCAGCAGGGAGATAGTATCTCGCAGCAGGGAGATAGTATCTCGCCGTAGCGAGATAGCAAGTAGGAATTTTTCTTGTTATTTGTGGCCCTTCTACGCTTCCGTACATTTTCTTCACTGGCACAATTTCAATAAGCACAGTGTAGGTTGACTAATCTGGTGACCACAAAAATAAGACTTAAATACTGACATGGTATAACATTGACAGGCAGGTTGTAGGCACGCACTCACAATGTCAATGTACAACTTCATGTGCATATGGGTCATTCTATAAATTTGGGGTCCACTTTGTCTCCTGTCCCTGTTATTATGACATCTATGATTATATAATTATGCACTCCTAAATGCAGTCCTTCTCTATGAATGATAATGAATGGGAAACCACATACCCAACAATTTGTAATGATACTAAGTTCTGAGTTAACATTAACGGGGAAAGAAAACATGTCACACTTTGGACCCCAAATTTATAGAATGACTTGTGTGTAAAAATTCACATGCACCTCGATTATGAGCACATTTAACATTTATACATCGTGCTGAAACTTGCAAATTGCTCTCAATGACAACATGCTCAGGCTGGTTGGGGGTGGGGTGGGATTGAAACACATCCATCCCTACTTGAAATCCTGTGTATGGGGCTGATGTGTTGGTGTCTTGAGATCACTGTTTGACCAGGTTATTATATTCTTGAAGGCATAAAGGTGGATTGTAACTGACAAATGGTCTCTTTCTGTTGTTCAGAGTGAGGCTTTTCTGCTTTTCTTTTTTCATGATATTTCCTTATTAATTGCACTGTTCTGTGTGACTGTGGTATCAAAATTGTTGTCACTTCAAAGTCTTCATCAGTCATTTGTTGTGGCGCTTTCATTTAGAATTGGTTGAAATTCAAACGCTCTGTATCTTAGATTTTGATCTCAAGAGGCTACCGTGTGATTTAAGGCCATATTAATTTATGCACCAATGCTGTTTAATGGTACTCATGAAATCTTACATGTATTTCACATGATAAGCAACACTGCAGTGCATGTCACCGATAGCAGTAACACTAAAATGGAACTTGGTATGCACTTTTCTACAAAATCAGATACTTAGCGTAGCCAACACCTACAGTGTTGTGTGCAACACACCCTGATGTGTACAAGAATTTATAAGACTGAAATCATTTGTTAGGCTCTAATCGTTTGATTGGTTCGGTGGTTTGGGTGCTCATCACATAACATACCGGTAATATGCAGCACTTACATGTACATTTTATAAATTGTTGTCAGTAACAAGCTTTGTACTTTGGCAGCAACTGAAGTCTGTCTGAAACAAAACAGAAAGAATACTTACATCGAGTTAGTTATCGGGTGATGGGATTTGTTCATCGTACAATTTGTGTGTTGCTTGGGTTATTATTCCTACTAACTCAGTAGAAACATACCGGTACACCTCATCATAATGAAGTAAATGTTTAATAATCTTCACTATAAGGTTGTGGGTGATTTTGTTGTTGAATATCATTTTCAAAGCTTTGTACTTGTAGCACTGTGAGGCGATCAGTACATGCACATACCGGAAGTTACAAATCACGTTTTAGTTTCACATACATGTACCAAAAGTAGCAGGCTTCAAGATTTTTACCGCTCATTTTGAATTGTCTTGCTTCTGAACAAAACCAGTCCAGCAATACTTAGCATTAGTGCAGCTAACCCTTGCAGTAGGATTTTAGGCCTGTTAACGAAGAAACTGCATCCCAGCCTCAGCTTTTAAATAGTTGCTAGTCCTAGCTTTGCAGTCACGTTCACAGAATTGTGTCCCAATTTTTTTGGCCATATCGTTTTTTGCAATAGAAGTTTCATCCGTTTTGAAAACGTCTTTTGGAATTTTGAAACTTTCTATATTTAACTTTTTCTGCAAGATCACAGTTACAATTTTTGATATTTTAATTTTTCTTTATTTACAAAAAGTTTGATCTGGGTTTCAACACCTGTAGGTACTATTAAATTTTTGTGAACTGAATGTAGTCGCTTGTCATGATCATGGCCTCAAAAGTCTCATTTGCTCAGTACATGTGCATACAAAGTTGCAAATTCGCACTGCAAAAATGTGTCTCGGTGTCACATATTTTCTCCTTTACTTTGGTTCTAAGTATGTTCTATGTGCATAAATGTGGGTGTGGCTATGACAAATGATAGTCTTTTGTACAATGTCCTCAACAGAATATTAACATGATGCCAAAAAAATAACAGTAGTGGAAATACATGTATTAAAACCAACATGCAATAACACTAAGCCATGTATTACATGTAGCAGGGTTCCCACGTGATAATAACCATAAAACCAGGCAAAATCTAACACAAAAATGATCCCACAAAAAAAGTCTAGATGTCTGTAGACTCCACTAATCAGACTGATAAATACATAATCAGACTGAAAAATACATGGTTATATATGTATGAGCTAAAAGAAGCAGATCTGGTGCAGGTACCGGTACATGTACCCATATTTATAACAGTCAGTAAAGGTCCATGATTTGTTTTTGCCATTGTGATGTTTCATTGCATATTAGTTGTTTATGACTCAGAAAAAGGGTGGGGCTCAGAAACAGGCAGAAAACGGTATCTTTGTGTAATTGTTCAGTTCGTCAGATGTGCTCTTGATAGTTCGAGGACGAAAAGAATACTTTTTGAAATATTGAGCTCACGGATTACTCTCCGAGCCTGTAAATTGATTTTCATTGATTTTTCACCATGCAAACCTCTAGGCCTGATGTTCACTGTTGAGACATGTATAGGCATGCAAGTGCTCAGACTGACATTTCTTGTAACGTGTTTCGTTCTAGCTGGCATTTCTCGTTAAGTGTTTCTAGCTTGATCTCCAAATAATCCCCACATGCCGAGTTCAAATTCCGTAGCTGATGGCCACCAGTGTGTCACTGAATGCATATTACAGACTGCCTGGTCAATGCCAGTGGACTCAAACAGAGTTTCAGTTATTCATTTATTTTTATATTCCCTGAACTCCGCACAGTAGGAGATTGCAAAGGTTTGCGTGGCATTTTGATTGAGTCTGAAGACACTGCCATGTAAATGTCAGCTACATATGTATGAGTTCACAGTTAAAGAGTAAAGACATCTGGTAATTTTGGATAATTTATTCAGAGAATAAAATAACTTGCAAAGGATTACATTTAGACCACGAAAGGTGAGTTTAGCTTTGCTAGGCATCTATCTCTTTTGTATATTGTTTGGTTGTGTTTACATGTGTAACATTTCTTTATGAATTTGGTGTTTTGTAGTCAAGTGTTAAACGTTTATCTGTCTGGTTTGCATGTATCATGTGTGCATGTTCAATATTTGTAGATTTATTCACTGTAAAATGGTGACGGGATAAGTGCTAAGACTAACGCTTTAACAAAAACCAAAATGACCCTTTTTAACGTTATTGAAAACAAAGAAAGAAGGAAAATCACATCTTGTCAGTTTCCCTTGAGATTGTCTTCATCTCATAATTTTATGAAGTAAATGTTACTAATTGATGTTGCACTGCCTTTGGAAAGGGGAAAAACTAAAATGGTTTGCTAGGTTGCTTGCTTCGCTTTCCTGCTTTGTATCGCAATGTAGTTGTAGCAGTGGTAGTCTAATTAGTGCACAAGGTGGCGGGGTTATCAATAGTATGGTATTGTCTAATGAAATACAATCGTCAATAATTTCATGAAACATTTACTTAAAGTTTGTACATATTTTTCTTATCTACAAAATTATTTTTGGAACAAAATTGCCGTAAATATTCATCTGAAACGTAAACACCAGTTGAATATATTTTAATAAACAAGAAAACATGAAAAAAGTAACACAAGCTTCGCATGAAAATAGAATTCCGTTTTACCTGAAGTTACACTGGTGTATTTTTTTACTGTGACATTCTTAGGTATTGAATTTGGAAGCACCCTTGTTTACGACAGTTAAACCCTACGCAGGATGCACAGTCGCCCTCCAAAAGTTGTTGAACCCTACATCTTTCCCATTTTTGGAATTCACCAAGGGATCTATTTTGCTATCCCAGGAATGTACCGTTTGGTAATAAACATCAAAACTAAACTAGGAGGTTTAGTTTCTGTATCACGGCAATACTTTTTCATTAAATAGTGATGAAGTGATTAAATTGTGCCTTCCACTGTGTCCTCTCAATACAGAAAACAGACCCAGCGCCTTCGCGGGTATCCTTCACCTCCTATCTTGGATCGATTCGACTGATGTCTAAAGTTCCATCGTCCACCCCTGTCAACGTCTAACACTCGACCCATTCCGAGTTGGCTTGCCTTTGTTTGTTAATACAGCCATGGGCTGTAGGACTATGCCCCAAGTTATGATTTAGGATTTGTAGCTTTATGGATTTTAAGGATTTAGCTTTAAAGCTACATTTTACCGCTATGGCCTCAAACAAACTTGTGTTCATACTTACAGGCAAGTGTAATATAAAGAATGCCTCATTCCACAAATATATAGGACCAGTGTACTGTAAATTTACGTAAGCTACAAGAATTTTCTCTCATGTTCAATCGGAATAACTTACACAGATTGTATTTGAGACCCTTTCTTTCTTAAATATTGAGCTGTTAATGAATTTAACACCAAAACAGTTAGGGTAAAAACCATGCCTTATATAAAGCTGTGAAAAAAACAAACCGGGGCTTGGCCTGTTGAAGAAAAGTTGTTTCTGAATTGTATGTTTTCAACTATGCTTTCAATTCTCTTGAAAAAAAGTGTAGATATTAAAGTGTTGTTTACATAACTTTTGTGTAACTTTACTAAAGTAAAAGTCAGTTGCACTTATACCGTCACCATTTTACAGCGTGTTTTGCTGCTGTTTGTGTATGCAAAGGGGACCATTTGTTGTATTCTTAATCTTAACTAAAGTTGCATGTAATTGCTCTATTGTTGTACTCACCTGAACATGTATTTTGTTGTTAACATTACACATTAATATTTCGGATTTGTGTGAGTTTGTGTACTTTCCCTGTAATATGTGTGAATGTTTTTTTTTTTAGGATAGTAGAACGGTTTCCTTGATATACATGTATAATGTTCACCATACAATTCCTAAATTGACTAATCAGAAACCGGCTTAAAGATTTCAGGTTTTGTGGAATTTTGCCAGTACTACATTTGATGTTTACAGTCTAAAATCTTTTTACTAACTCCAGTTGATCGCCATCTTTAATTAGTGCCTTCTTCCAAAGTTCAGAAGTCTGGAAAAAATATTCATTTCTCATAGCAACCATGTCGTACGGTTCAAGTGATTTCATTGGCTGAAAGTTCAGTAAATTTTGGACACAAGAGGGCAGTAGTCATGTCTGACTGGTAAATTGAAAAACAGTACATGTAAAGGTGATGTGAATAACACTGTAATGGTAGTCCCAGTTTCCTGAAATTTTCACTCCGATACAAAGACATTTTCATATGCAGTCAATTAAGGTGCTTGGTACTAAGGTGCTATAACTCAAACTATTAGCAGGGGCATTGGTTTTTATATCGTTTTTGTTGAGCCTGAAATATATTTACAGCATGTTTTTAACCATATACTTATTAATATGATTTTGATATATATCCTTTTTATATAATCCGTATATTCCTTTTGATATTATATTCTTTATATTATCAATGAATATGTATTCAACTTATATATTATATGAACAAGAAAGTAAGTTTGCCTTAGGATATTGATGGTATTGGAATTTTAGCGTTTTATAGTGTTTGTCATTAGATGGTTCACGATGTATGTATATCATGCCCAACTTTCTCTATGAAAATGCATTGAAATTTCAAGGCGATTGAGCACAGAAAACAGAGTTTTTTTGTTGGCAGTGCTAACATTTCATGTGACGAAACTTGTTCTGAGCTAATTTTTGCCAGACTCATGACTTTCACAATTGATTCGTATATATACACCAATATTTTTACAGCAGTATTATGATGATAAGACATCCATTGCCAACAACTTTAAATGATTTAGATGACACAGATAACAGCATTCAGACTGTGAGACATTTAGCCAAGGTTTAGGGTAGTACTCTGTGTATTAATGAAACTGTAAATACATGTATTAAAAAAAAAAAAAAAAATTGAAAGCTAATGATCAAATGTGGAGTAGGCCTACAGCTTGCCTTACCTTCACTTTCTATCGGGATTTCAATTCCAGCTGTTAATTTGTTTGTGAACAAATGTTGACATAGTCTCAACACTTGGTTAGTAGATGATTAAGAAAATCATCAAATCTTCAATTTGTATTTAAGACCTTTAAGATGACAGTTTATCTGTGACAAAGCTGGAAGTACAAGTCATCACATGTAAAGTTTTGTAATTGAGGTCGGTGATCTGAAATGAGGCTTGGATATGGCCGTGCAAGATTTTCTTCCTTTAGGCCTACAACCTAAATAAGCAGAGTGATCTAACCAAGCTTTAGAATTTGAATTCATATTCCAACAGAAATGAAGTAATCAGACATTATAATGACTAAATTAACTCACTTTTGCTAGTGATTTAAATTATATCGTTATTGTCAAGTCCATAATTTTTAATTGCTTATAAGCATTGCTTTAAAAGGGTGTGACCAATTATTTGTAGGATAATTTGTGTTAAGTCTAGCTATAGTAGATTAAACTTTTTTCAGAAAACTACACAAATTTAGGATCTTTAAACATATAGCTCAGATTTTTTAATGTAAAATATAGCCCTTTCAAGAACCATTTTATTTTTTTTTCAGTTATGAAGTGCATTTAGCATTAAAAAGGAATTACTAATAATCTTCATGCGTTTAGTGCAAACTTTTATGTTAATAGATTTTTTTTATTTCAATTATAAATACAACCTATAATCTAGAAACTTATTACCTTGGGTTGAGGGTTGAAACATTTGTATTTGGAAGATTGATTTTTGTCTCACATTGTTAGATTTGGAAAACAATTAATGCTGCTATAGAAATAGTAAACTTAGGACATATCGTGATTAGCTCATAGATTAGTAATGTATTAAAAGTGTCATATGCAGATAAGGGGCAAATGTAGATAAAGTTGGCATTCCTATGGCATTGTTGGTTGGGTAAAATGGGAAACTCCCACTTTAGTATGAATTTATATTTATATGCACAATGCCAATTCCGAGATGGGCATGTTTGTTTAAGGGATAAGGCTTACACTGTTGTGCATAATGGCAAAGAGCCTCAATAACCAAACAAATGCCTTAGCAGACAAGGTCTAACATGAGCATTTTTTTTGTTCACATTTCCACTAACTGCCATGCAACATTGTTTTCGGAAACTTCCAAGCTGCCTAGATTCCAACATTGCTTGGGACAATGGTGCTACTATCCGATTTTGAAATTCTTCTGATCAAGGCCATTCATGTTTGATTGGATTATAATTTAATTGAATAAATATTTAATTTTGTACACCTACCGGTATAGGCCTACACAAATTGAAGGCGTTAGTGTTGTTAAATAGAGTATGCTATCGATTTTCACTGCCATTTTGCAGGATTTATGCCAACTTGTTAATTAATTTGTACACCTTGTAAAATATTTGACAGTAATTTAGCTAGCATTTAGAAATATGCTTTATCATGACTGAGCATTGATGGGAAGTGACGAAAGTCCATTTCAAGTTTCGTTGATAAATGATTATATTGATGTCATCCCCTTCAAACATAAGAATGGTGACCGCTGATGAAAACTTTTCATTTATGTTAGATACATGAAAGCTAATGTTTTAACCGATAGAATGCACAACTCAGTAAACTTCATCTGTGTTGTAAGGTTCATTTCATACAAAAACTTTGTGGTCATAGTGTCTCAATTGATTTGCAAAAAGAACTCAAAATAGTGGGGGAGAAAAGGGTTATTAATACAGACCAAAAAGGGCTCTATCCTTTTCAGAGAGAACCTGGCCTTTCTAGTATTGTGAAGGATTTGATTTTTGTATTTACATCCTCTAGACACCATTAGATTTTAGGCGTTATTTTAAATATTGAATGAATAGATTTCCATATACCGTATTAAGAACTTTGGTATTAACTTTTTTGTTTATTAAATAGTTGCCTTAGGCCTATACCTATAACATCATTCAATAGTCTTGCACAGTTTGTTGCATTATTGCCCATAATTATTCAGTACTAATGTTTAACATGTAAGCATCCATTACCGAATCAGCATTCTTTGGGAATTAGCTAGTTCGACACTATATTAATCAGTGCGCTGCTTTAATGTTGTATTCATTTTTTTATATTTACTCATTAATATTTGTACTTAAAATGTTGCATGGAAATTAAAAATATGCTTGTGGTGCATGAACTATGTCTTTTTGTTGGATTTAAAGTGGCACTTTCCTCCAGTAGTTAATATATTTGACGGACTATGATAACCAAACTTTCATGAGCTGCTATAAGCAAGTAGCAAAAATGTAGCTTTCATAATATTTTGGCTGGAAAACAATTTTGTGTCGCCTAAATAAAGTTTTGTCCTAAATTCTGTATATATGATCGTACAAACCAGAGCTATTTGTGGGGTACTGCACCCAAAGGGAACAAAGGTGCCGACTTGTAGCCCACAATTTTTCCTTTGAAAAACGGTAAAAAAAGAGTGAATTCTAAAGAAAAGGGATAAAAGGACAACAATGCAAGTACCCCAGAACTCCTGTCGGCTGGAACGTCCATATCACCGTATAAATATATTAAAGGTTATAGGTTAAGTTTTTGAAAGAGGTGTATAATTTCTACATGCTTTCAAGGATTTGGATGAATTTCAGAGGCGGTGACCCTTAGGTTGGAAGACACACTTCTTCATGGGATTATTGAGGTCAAAGGTCATGTAGGGGTTAATAGAGATCATTGTTCGAATATGCTTCGAATGTTTTGTGTCTGCAGAATTTGATGCATTTTAAATGTAACTTGGATGGAGTGATCCTTGGGTTGGGTTTCATGACAAGTCTTTCGAACTTGGAGGTCAAAGGTCATCTAGGGGTCATTTGAGGGCGTTTAATGCACAAAATTGATTTTTTTTTAAGAACACAAGATTGGGATCCACCGCGAAGAAAGGAAACACGTGCGATTCGCGGATCAAGTTGTTTGATGAGCAAACATTTTCACTTCTTAGCGCGGCTCCATAAAATATGCCATTAGTAGACAGATAATGAATGTTTATGAGTGCAATGGTAAGAATAATTTCATGGGGTGACAAAGGGGAACGTTTGCCTCGTGGAATGGAACATTGCATCTGTTACCAGCTGAATGTCTTACCTTTGTTGCACGGCTAGTGTAGAGGCAATCAAAATGGTAGGACGGTTCCACTAAATAGGCTGAAGGGAAACAAAAGTGGACTCAATTTTAGGTGAAGACATCGATGTTCAGCTAAGTATTTGGTCTCAGTAAAGAAGTACTCACCCTGCCATTTTCAAGTTTCACCATGTACGAAACTTTAGGTTTTGATTTAAACTTAGTTGCTATTCCTCTAACAACACAAAAGTAATTCACTTTTGAATACAACATCGACCGAAAAAAGGTTTGACAATGGAATAAATTACAGACAACAATCATCGCGGGGTAGACTGGTTGTCGCCCCCTTCACGATAAATAATGTAGGGACCGGGGACCAGGCTATATTTGTAAGGTGCATCTGTTTGTGCGCCAAAACTAAGAACCGAAAGAAACCAAACACGTCTTGGTGAAGTTTCGTTAGAAGAGAAGGATAAGAAATTGTTAAAGAGCAAGGTCAGTCTGTTTTCGATAATAAACTCCCATGTTAGGCCTATCAAGCCCCTACAAGCATAACAGCCGGCTGAAAGTGATGCATTTGATAAATGTCCTTTACTGTATCATGTCAAAACTGGATGATATAAGCTTTGCATATTTAGTGCATAAATGCGTTCATAAAGTAGTTGTTTGTGAGGCAGGCTAATTGATAAAATATCGTATTTTACTAGAGGGGGCCTCAAACCCAAGCCGATTACTGTCATAATGAATGATCTCTCAGTGGCACCGCTGACACCAACTCTCCTCTCAGAAGAACTAGAGGGGGGGGGGGCGTCAAACCCAAGCCGATTACTGTCATAATGAATGACCTCTGGCACTGCTGGCATCAGCTCTCCTCTCAAGAACACCACAACGTACTGATAGAAACACTTAGTAACAAATTACTTCACAAAAAGAACAGTGATTTCTGATCATCCCATTTCAACATCCTATACCCCCATCCACCCATCCAAGAGTTAAACAGTTTAGGCGGTAAGGGAAAGTTGCTATGCTATCACTTTTGTCTCAGCCTCTGAAGGAACAACTTGTACTGAAGTGGCCATGGATTCATGTCTAATACTTCACAAATTTCTTTTCTCGGTGTCTGTCTTTCTGGAATCTTTCTGATTTTTTTGACCGAAAACTAAAAGTACATTCGATTTGGTCTTTCGTAAAGAGTGTTTTCAATTCATGTTGTGCATAAATTTGAGCGGAGTGCGTTCCGGGGTGCCACGCCATAATGGGGTTCGTTTGAAGTAGATAAAAAAAAAATGCTACGTGCGTGCGTGCAGGCGCGCTCTTATTTGACCCCACAATGTCGAGCCATTACCAGAATGTTCTCAGACAGACAGGATTAGAACAAAACATAAATAATTATGCTGTCAATTCATGAGTTATAGAAAAATAGACGTTAGATCTTGGATTGATTCCAACACTAATAACATCATCATGGAGAAATGTGGGCGTGTCCAGTGAGTGAAACTAAAACAATTAAGTTTTCAGATATGTATTTTTAAAGGGATTGTGTAATTGAAATACAAATAAATAATATCACGTGTATGAAGGTGAACCTATATAACAGAATATTATACATTATAAAAAAAAGCAAGGACGGAAGGGAGGGTGGTTGGGTGACTAACCGCACCCCCTCCAATACCGACCAATGTTAATTATTTACATATAATAAACACATCGTTAAATTCTCAGAAGATCATCACTCATTACAAACATTGACTCATCACTCCAGAGATGTGGTCTGTCCATGTGTTGACTGCAACGTCTCATCCACTCCCCCTCTCCCTTGAAAAAAATGTTAGACTTCCACAACAAGTCATGTCAGCGACCCCCTTTGGAAATCCTGCATCCGCCACTGAGTCAATAGGACATTTTTTCAACTACATGTTTTGAATAACAATTAAACAAATGACTATTGTGTTTCAGGTTGTTCAATATATGATACAGGAAGTTCCCTCTTATAGTTGTCATGTCACGCAGACATGTCACGTAATACACAACCAATCTGAACGCGACCCTTGTTGTACAGGAGGTCAGTTTGCACAGATACCATTGTTGTTGAGAATAGATATGGTTCTCTTTTTCACTCAATGGAGAAAAATTGTTTAGCCTATTCCTGGTATATGGTTTCCGTGCTCCGCTGAAAAAAATTCTATGACGTGAACTTCTTTGTGATGAAGAATTACGGAAAGCTACTTTAAATTCATTAAAAATCTATTGATCTGTAATTTTGGTTCACGATAAAAAGGCAGCTCGCGCTGGGAAAGCGACTTTGAACGAGAAGACAAATAAAACACAGATACAACTTTGCGCTCTATACTAAAATAAAAACGACTACGCACTAAAAATACAGTTTTGTCCTGTCAGAATCAGGAGCAGGACACTACTAATTAAAAATGGTATATAGTTTAATGTCATATTGGGCTACTTTAAAAAATTACAATTCACTTTATAAAAAGTATTTAGTTTTTGTAATTATTTTACGATGTGCCACGCCCAAATAAGCTTCATATATCTGGCAAGTTTCGTATTAAATAGTTATCTATCAAACTAACCTCTTAATTCGTGACCAGCGCATAGCGCCTGGTATTATTCAGGCCCGAAGGCTTGGCTAACATGAGGCCGTCGACATGCAGATTTTTCATTTCACACACAAAAACCCACAGAGGTGGAGGCCCAATCATCCAATTTTGTTAAATTCAACACCAACTGCAAAATATTGTTCCCGTCCGTTGAATTACAATACTTCGTCTCCACAATGCGCCCCGGGCCAGCTAGCATCTGATGATGAGCATCATAATGTAGGCAAGAAAATCTTGAGAACTGCAGATGCCGTGAAACCTATTAAGAAGATAAGACGCTGCTGCGTCTATCCACAGCTTATCTGGCGCCCAGATCCAGTGGCTGGAGATCAGGTTGAGGACTTCAAGTTCCAGGAATTTATGTCGACAAATAAAAGTGCATCTCGCGGTATATAGCACAGGATAAAAGGTCGCGGGAGATTGTGTCGAAATGTGTTTTTATTCCTCCATGGTCGAACAGAGTTAATATTATATTATTACAAGAGACCCGGAGTGACCTTATATATGGGTCCAATTTGGAGGGGGGTGGGCACTTCAAGGGAAATCGTGTCTAGAGGGTAGTCTAAGTAATAGACAGACTTTCTGGAGGGGGCACCTAATGTGTTTTTAATTTAAAAAGGGGGAAAAACCTCTCCGGGGGGGGGGGGGGGGGGCTCGAGCGGATGCTACTTAGGTAGACTATTGTACTTGTATTGAGATTGTTGCCATTCTCACCAATACATTTTCTACCAAGAAATGTTGGTCTGTTCCTCGATCGAATTATATAATATTGTTGATTCTCTATTGTGGTTGTATAGTTTGATTTGTACAAAATGAACATGGCCACACTTTCAAGTTCCAAATTGAAGTTGGTATGCACATGAAGGAATAAGAATGTTCTTATTTCCATGGTATGCTCGTGTTTTGGGTTTGGGATTTGGCACTGAAAAAATAAGGAAAAAATATTGCAACCTGACGCCAGTTTTTTCTTCATATAAATTATCATCTCAGTGAAGGTCATTCATTGCAAAAATGATGATAAGACATGAATCTGGGACTGAGAAACATTTCCAATTTTCAGGTTGCAACATTTTTTCCAAAAAATAATTAAAATAATACCCAACATTTAGCTAGGCTTGAGTGATTTTTGTCCATCTTTTCCCATTTTCTTACAATATATATATTATAGTAGTCCCGGCAATTACCGTTTGAAAGAAAATGATTCAAATAAAAAAAAAACCGGACGCAGAGTGGAGTAAAAATGGAGTGGATAGCACGAGAAACAAGCTTTGTTTTTGCAGTCTGCCACGGGCGCACGCGCACACGGTGAACAATGATAAACCTGCTGAGAGTGTTTAGCATTTAGCACTGGTTGTGCATTGAACCAATTGCAATGCATACAACCGGAGTGATATTTTATCAACAACCGTGTCACGGTCTATTCAACTTGATCAGTAGTGGATGGACAGGAGGTTAATTTGAGGCGAAAATGTCACCCCCTGCCATGGATTTACGTGTGCCATCGTTTTCGGTTGGTCCAGAATCTGTAAGTAATCCTTCAAAAAGAATACACGGCAATGATATAGGCTTGGCCTTCAAACCATGTCAAACGGAATGGATCAGGCGATCATCAGCACATCAGCTGTTCCCACCCAACGGCCGTGCCATGGCATCTGTTCCTTGGCCTTGCATGCTATATGCTGTGATGTGATGAGCATTTTCTCTCTATCTCTGGAAGTGGAACATGTTGCTGAATCATTCAGTGTATGTTGGCTTAGGCCTATGTCATGTATGTAGTGACATGTAACTAGTCACATTTGGGGTGATTGTGAATTGCAGGACACCGTGCACCGTTTGTATTTGAATTTGAATTTTTGAATTTTTTTTTTAGATGGCAAGGTTGAAAATGGCAAAGAAAAGAGGGGAGGGTTTCATTTTTTTTTTATATCAGCCAACACCATGAACGCTGTGGGTATGGGACCAGTAATTTCACCAATGTTTTAGGCCCATTTGTCATGTAACACCTTGTATTATTGTTTTGTTTCAATATCAAAAGTAAAGTACAGTCGTTTGACCGGTTCCGCAATCGCAAATCGTCTGAAGCGTCTTGTGGCGAAAAAACGCGCTTTCACAGGAAGCTACTTATCTATAAATTTGCGCAAATTACTCACCTACTTCATGATATGAATAGTTTTCTGCGATCGTTTGAAAGAGAAATTTGCCAGGACATTTTGTAGAGGTCGGTGCTTTGACCGGTTTCGCAAATGTTTTCCGGTTTCGCAAACGGCGCCCTCTGTGAGACTGGACTGAAAATATTCCTTGTTTACTGGCCAAATCTAGATCGTTTTTGCCCCCATACCAGCCAAGAAAAGATGTGGATTATATTTCCCTGTGAATGAGCCAAGGTCTGCACATTATAATGCGTCCAAATTTACAAAATGTGACTCCATGAAGTTGTTATGGTTCGTTGGATCTTTGTTCACGTTATAATTATTTGACTTGCTTCAATCTGTAACTTCTTCTCACTTGTCTTCTCTCCACAGGTTTCTTCAGGCTTGTGTGCTACAGTGCCTAGGGTGCTTTTGAGGAATCTTTGGTTTCATTACCAGAAATTGTAGAATAATAATAATAATAATCCAATTAAATGACTTGCTTGCTTTTTGTGCATTCTGTCAATCATCTTGCAATCACTAATATTTTTCTTTTTTGTTGTTGTCTTACTAGACACACTCTGACTTTGGATAGAACCAGACACAAACCTTGTACCGAATTGCTCCAGTTGGTTGTTTTTTTTCTCACATAAGCACAGACCAGCTATTTATGAATTTGAATTAATATTTTCTGCAGGATCATTTTAATTCCTATGACACTTAAGGAAGTGACTGCATGGCTGGATGAATTGGAACTGAATCATTGTCTGCAGGGGAGCACTGTTTATTAATATTATTTGTTTATTTAATTATTATTTATTTACTTTTGTTTATTCCCTCCCCTTTATTTCATTTTACTTTTTTTGGGGGGGGGGGGGGGAGTGTTTCAATTTGTTCAGGGTAAAAACACAATATGCTTAATTTTGTGTGCACCAACATCCAGTAGGGGGAACCTGGGGGCCGGGAGGGGAGGGGGAACAGGCCTCAGCAGGCCAGAAACATACAGGCCACATACATATTGTTTCACATTCAAATTAAATTTCACAAACAAATTAAAACAAATTGTTAAAAATGTCATAAATCCTATGGCTGTTTCATAGCAATGGCAATTTCTAATTATAATGTCGTTGGAAAGTTAAAGAGAGGGTTCAGTTACTCCTCATACGTTGTTGCACATATTAACTCTGTATGTGTATCATGCTTGGGCAACTGTATTAGCAAACCTCATCTACCGTTCGGTGATGCTCTTAAAAGAAAATGTCAACACATTCATCACATACATCCCGATAACCCTTTCAATATATTGACATGTGATACCTGCATGTGTAAAATGTAAATGTAATACAAAACTAAAGCACTCAAGAAGCTACCCCTTTTAAATCCCAAATTATACCTGTCATATAAATAAATGGTGATGAATCACAGAAATAGACATGTTCTGTGGGTTTTTCATGCAAAGTAGCATAGTTTTTAAAACACCTCACTTCTCTTTCACATGTACTGGTTAATAAAAATGTATGTAACGCCTTTAAATGTATTGCCTTTATGACACCTGCATGTCTGTTTAATTGTTATACACAAATAATTTAAGCACTCCAGAAGCTAGCACTATACAAAAAAAGGACTTGTCACATAAATAAATTAATTCAAAGGAATGGTGATGAAGACACACAGCTACATGTACTTTCACTATAATATTCAACTTCTTCTTGACCTTCACAGTTAAAACTGAAAAAGATGTGCAGATGGCCTCTTATGGCCCATCAGGAGGCTGGCGTAATCTTCTTCTTTGTCTTTGGCATTGTCTGTATGAAACAGAAATTTTATATAAATCATTTAATTTATGGCCAAGTTGAGACAAAAATTGAGAAATGGTTTATAGTTTTTGACAAATCTTGTGCTCCAAGAAAACAATCAAAATTTGTGTCTGTACTGACGGGAGACTGGTCTTCATTATGAAATATTAGTGTACCTATTTTTCTTTTTGTTTAAAAGGGTAAAGAGTAAGGTTAGAACCCACCGAAAAAGGATAATTTTAAATTTACTAATTACTGGAAATGTCCTTTTGGTTAGAAACACACCTGCGTTTTATTTTCCATATTATTATGTACTATTTTTAATTGTTCCCCACAAACCTCACCTCCTATGAATCCAAACCCCTGAGGCACAACCGCTTCAACACCAAGTATGGGGTGAATTTTTTTAGAGCAAAGGAAAAACGTTTAGTGGGAATTTTGCTCACTAAGAAAGATTTTTGTATTTTAAATTTTGAAGTCCGAATTTTTTTTTATCCAAAACCTACAGTGCTATCCGGAAGCTGGACAGAAACAAAATCATTTTGTTTCAATTTTGTTTTCAATTTTGCACTGAACACCCAGAAATGATCATCAAATTCGACATTTTTAAACAAGGATTAATAGAAATTCTCCAAAAAAAAAAAAAAATTCATGCCAATATAAATAATGTGCGCCGCGCTAGGGGGCCGTCATCAACAATACTTGTCAATAGCAGCACTGGTTAATACAGTCACACCATGGCCAGTGTGTATTGTATAGGCAGTATGAATGCGTTTGCGGAACCGGCCAAACGACCAGCAGTTACTCTGGTGGGTATAGAAAAAAAAATTCAAAGACTTCAAATCTTATATTTGTATGGTGGAATAATGAATAATTTCCGAACAAGTTGCATCTATCGCCATGATTTAATTCCCCTGAACAATCGTGTAGCAGGCCGACAAACATGAAATCATGCTTCCGTGCGCGTTCCATTTCGGCAGTTCGTTAACGGCAAGTGACGGTCGTAGGGGATTTATTTTTAAATGTAAGTGAGTATCCTAAAACTAAAACCATTTTTGAAAAGTAGATTGAATAACCTTTCCATCAGTACCAAAGTTTAAGTCCTTGACGTTTTCGTCTTTCTGAAAACGAGAGCTAGTTTTCCGAAATTGCGGAACTGGTCAAATTGCGGAACCGGTCAATTGACTGTAAAGTCTGTCACGAGCCAATTGATATGGCCCACCGGCCACCGGGCCGGCATTTATCTCTGGTTTCAGTAGCATGAAACGACTGAAAATATGTCTATTCCCCCTGAATGGGGTGCTAGTCCATCGCAGGTTACTCCCCAGATAATGCCGTTACCCATTATACTCCTGGGTGGAGTATGCAGCCATTGCAGGGCTGCCAACTTTGAGTAAGAGCTGTGAGTGTGAGTGAGAAATTGGCAATAGAACTTGATCAAGTAATCATGCTAGAAATGTGAGCACGAAGCGCAAAGCCCTAATGGCAGCGTGGGTTCGGGGCCCGCTGAAGGGTCCTGAAAAAAATGTGGATTCTAGGTCTCTCTGTGGTGCGATCTGAGACAATTTCTGACCACTTATATGCTGTAGCAAAAGATCATCATTTAAACATCATGTTCGAGGTTTATTTATTAATTTTTTTAGCGTGAGAAATCCCGAGTGCACGTGAGAACAACCTGAAAATGCTTGAGCTTCACGCTCAGTGCGTGAGAGTTGGCAGCCCTGATATATGGCCAACGACTAGATTTGAACCCCTGACCCAGAAGATTAGGAGTTAATACGAACCCTAACCACTAGGTCACACTCCCCCACAATATCACTGCTGCCGTGCGCGCGCCATGTGTGATCGTAAGCGAACGGAGCTAGACGTTGGAGAGATGTAAGAAGAAATGATGAGGTACATGTATGATACCCAACAATACCAGTCTTAAAAACCACACTACAGTGTTTATGCACTGGTCTCTAGAATTGTATGACGCACCCCAGGAAAATGGTGTGTCATTGTCCAACAGTGGGTCATCCTTTTGTGGAATCTTTACATTGTATACATGTTCCCTACGTTGGAATAGTGATGCACCAATGTATAGTTTTGACACTCTTTGGCAACATTTTGACCCACCTTTCACAGATTGCGATGCACCTACTGAGGAAAAGTCATGCACCCCATAAATTGTTTGACACACCAAATCATGACTTGGGGCATCCCTAGGTCACAGCCATGAAGAACATGACACACTCTTGATGCATCATGCGGGGTTGAGGGAGGAGGAGGGGAATGGGGGGGGGGGGAGTTCATGGGGTCCGTCTTACAATTGACAGCGTGCATATCAAAAGAAAAAGACAGCCATGGACAAGCTAAGGCCCTGTACAAGTATGTAATTCAACTAATGCAGCTTTTCAAAAAATAACTCAAATCCTGAGCAGTAGGCCTACAAAACACCATGTAGATAGGCTCTACCAAGTTAATCCCATCATAGAGCAAGGAACAGACCCATGAACCAGGCTCAGTCCATTTTACAAATGTATTGTGATTGTGCAGATTTCAAGTGGGCTGTCTGGATAGTTACAAAGCTTAGCACTATTGCCCATTAGCTTTCACACTTTCTATCAAAGACTCTGTTATGTAACGCTCGGCCACACTAGTTGAAGATGCAGTTTGCTACCTTTTTGTATGAAAAAGTATTCTTCAGATCGATAATATTAAAATTTGTATTGCGTGTACAAGGATCAATCACATTTTACATTCAATTTAAACACTAAAAATTAAGAAGTAAATAGAAATGCAGTTTTAAATCCAGCTACAAATACCGGTAGGCACAACCTAAAATGTCAAGGCAATAATAAAAATACAATACATTTAAAGCAACTTTAAAAAAATCTTGCGTTTACGCTTGAAAAATGTCAATTATAGAAATGTACAAATTATACATTTATCGTATACATTGTACATCTGTACTGTACGTACATAACTGGAGTTAACGTCTTGTACACATTTATGTGTGTTCATCAAATCTTGTGGTTATGACTACAAACTGACTTAAAAGGAATGTACAACATTGGCTTTTGCTGCAATTTTCAGAAATAAATGGATTGGAGGATTAGTATGTTATATAAAATATTGTTAAACTGACTTGTTTCATGTTTTGGGCTTGTAGATGCTGGAAAAACCAAGAAAACCTATCATGTTCTTGTAGTCTGGTTCCCTGACCCCACTTAGCAATTAATACAATTAATACACTTTGGGGAATTGTAAGGTCAGATAATCAGTCTAGCAGGCTTGTACCCCTTCACAGGTGTGTGATCAATTGCAAAGAAAAGTCAGAATAACTAAATATGAAAAATTAAGAACAGTTTTTGAAAAAAGCCAGTTTTCTCCAACGCTGGTCGGCTGACCAGCGTTGGAAAAATACAGTTTTTCTTGAAAAAGTCAGCCCACCAGGAGCCACAATTTTAAAGGAAGCTTTAGACTGTCAGTCCCTAACAATTTAGTAAGGTATTTCGTGATAATTTGATCATTTCGTTTTTTGATGTTTGCAAACGTTGTATTTTCCCTTTAAAAGAACTTGACAAAGAACACAAAATTGTGCAATGCTTTTCCAAGAGTTGTTGTTGTGTCACAATGGCGTCAATGTCATGCCTACATAATGTAACATAACAAGTCAACAGGGACATCTACATGTAACAGTAAACGAGGGCATTGACCATACATTTTGTCCACTCAGTGCACAATGTAGCGGTGCCTGTGTTGGTTTGTGGTGGGTGTTGAAGGTGTGGTAACTGAAATCTTTTACATTGTGTGGTGGTGATTATACGGCCTTGATGTGTGACCTGACAACATTGTGAAAGCCACAGGAAGTGGCATTCTTCGTTCAGGATGTACAGCTTAATAGTAACACCATTGATCTTTCCATAGACCTTTTCCCTGAACCTTTTCTGTCAGTGATCCAACTTTCGCCGCACAAGCCTGTTGTGTAGTGTTGGAGGCATTATTCATATTTTTTACTTTTATTCATAAGTGTAGGCACCTGAATTTAGGCTGAAACCTTGCACACTGTCACGCATACAGGCACGCACCTGTTTATACCTGTAGGTGTCCAAAAACCAAAGTTCATCCCATGGACGTGAATGATGTTGAACTGTGTTTGCAGGTGGCTCTGAGCGTTCGCAATTAGTTGACATATTAAATGGTTTTGAAGTTCAAGGCTCCGTGCATAATGGCTTTAGGCAGTTGGCAGATGTGCATAATGTGGGACATTGTGTAAACATTACACGGACTCAATTTTGCACCGTACAGCATGTGCTGTTCCCTTCTGTTTAATACAATACAATTTACAGTGTAGTGTATACGTGACATTGATTACTTCTATGTATTGTCGGAATTTGGCAAACCATACAGTGTAAAAAAAAATTGCTCTTCTCTGCCTGTTGAGTGCAAACAAAAGGTAAGTGATATGACCCATTTTCAATATCCTGTGTTTAACATACGGTACGTGTCTTGCTGCGCCATACTCATTTGAATTGAACACAGCTTGTCGCGGCAATGTAGCAATGCAGCTGGAACAGTGGTACAGATGGCAAATAATCACAGATCTGCCAGGGAAACTAAATGCATCGAAAGTTGCTTACATTAGAAAAATCCAAATATTTATATTTCTAATTTGAAAAAACTTTCCTTTCCTTTCCTTTTATTTCCTTCATTTTTTTTTTAATACAAATTTGTGAAATAAAAAAAATTCTGTTTCCCAGTCAAAGGGATTAACATCTAATTCTTTTTACTCCTTTCATTGTTTGCTTCTTCAGATTTAGATGTCACTGATCCAACTCCTTATGCTGCCATCACTCAAGCAAGGTATCGCCGTTCATCACACAAATCAAACCCAGACGAAAGGTACCAGAAATTAATTTTGTTAACAGTTACTAATAAAGGGGTCTTTTCATAACAGGGTATGAAACAGGGTATATTTGTAGAGACTGCAGTGGCAGAACAGTTTTGAAAGGGGGGGGGGGGGCAAAGCACCGCCAGTGCCGCGCCGGCCAGCCATTGCAAATTCAAAAAGCGGGGGCTGGACCTCATTCGTTGATAGGGGAAGCCCTTTTTATGTTTTTTTTGTTTTTTTTGTTTTGTGAATGTTACACCCTGCCCCCCTCCCAAAAGCTATCATTCAATTGTGTTATTTCCACATGCAGTACACCAGTTAGAGAACCTTTTTTTTATGTTAACCCAGATATACATTTGTAGGGCATAGAGTACATTATTTTGGAACCTGGCAAAAGGGGGGGGGGGACAATGCCCATCCAGTGGTTCTACACGGGTCTAGAAGTCTACATTTATTGTTCCGAGGAGGACAGGGGTTGAGAGGCTCTACCCGGGTAGCAAATCCCAAATTTACCACCAACCTGTGTACAATCTGATTTACGGTATATGTGCATCCAAAAAGCGGTACTATGTATGTGTACATATGTACAATGTACATGTATGCCTTGTCAACCTGAGTTTTTGATAAGATCGGTTTCCACACAGGTAGGGTCATGAGGATACATGAAGTGTGAAAGTATGTAGAATTGATGTCATACTTCAGCTCTTCAAAAATAGACTCAAAACCCATTTATTTGTTTAATCATGCCATATGTTATTTTGCTTGTATAGTTTTTTTTTGTAGATCTGTATCAATGCATTTTTTGTTTGTATCTTTAATTATTTTGTCAGCTTTTGTAAAGCGCTCCGATCTTTGTGGGGCGCTATAAAAATGCCTATGTACATGTATGTATGTGTATACTTCCAAGATACAATGTACGCCATTGTACGTACATTGGCAATTATGGGTCATTCTGTAAAATTGGGGTCCACTTCTTTCCTGTCCCTGTTGCATCTGACATCTAGGATTTTATTATTCTGGATGCACTCATTAATGCAGTCAACTTCCACTTGAGAGTGAATTTGAATAGCGAACTATAGCTACATGTACTCAACAAATTTGAAACGGTTTGATGTCATTCTTAATTATTCAAGGTACCGTACATGTACTGGTACATGTAACAGCCCTGGACAGGAACAATATCACAGTTTGGAACCTAAATTTATAGAATGACCCACATACACAGTACTTCAAGTTTATTGACCACAGACACGTGTACAATTGTTTCCAATACTGCCAGACAGATACAATCACTTTTCTTCAGCGCTTCTGCCCAGGGCTGCAGCTGTATTTTTTTTATGAAAGCCAATCCTAATTGGCAGCAGAGACCGTATAAACACCCGGCTAGAATGTCACGATTGTGCCATAAACCCGTGCGGATATTATGACCCGAGATGAAATTGATGTACGGGTATCATTCCTCGGCCTGTGCAGACTGTCTCATCACGGAAGTGAAGTTGACGCGCCGTGGTGATGAGTCCCATACATCATACATGCAGCTTTGAAAAAAATAAGGAGGGGGGGGGGGGGAAGTTATTATCAAAATGTTAATGTGTAATTTAAAAGTCAAGTTTGACATTATGAAAATTTCTGACTGCAAAAAGATAATAATATTACCCAAAATGATAGGCCCCTACCATTTGGGAGACATTCAGACTTGTGCACAATTTTTTTTTTAATAAACTTTAAGCTTTAACCCTCCTATGGAAACATGCATTGTCAGCCTGGTTATTACTTAGGTCAATATTGGTCAAGACTCCCATTGGTTTGTACACAGTAGGTCAGGAGGTGAGGAAGAAAATTTTGACCATTGGTCATGGTGACCTCTTAAATAGTAGTTAATGACCCCTAAGTAACCCCAATTTTACCTTATCCTACTCCCACAAATGTTGGTGAGTTTTGGACGAGGAATCAATGTAGCCTATTTGTGACGATAACTTTGTCAAAGTGAAATGGCCTTGAGGCATTAAACCAAGATACGGTATTTGAATTTATGTAATATTTCATATTCCTATGCTGAACGTAATTTTTATTGATTTTTTTTGGTTAATAAATGTGTACCGACTCCGTCTTTGGCAGATTTTTATTCATGAAAATACATTGAAAAATATATGTACCATACAGTATATTATTATTCATAATTGTTTGGGACATTCTAAACTGTGAAATTGATACTCTGCATCGAGTCATCCAGAACAATAAGTCACATTATCTGACAGTGTCTGTTACAAACCACAGATGGCCGTTTCAATTGAAATTTAAGACTGCGCATTTATCATTTGATTTTTTACTGGTGGCTGGATGTTTAAATACAGTCAGAAAATATTCATGCGCACAATGGAATCCTGCAAATGCACCTTTAGGCCTATGTCCCACTAATCTACCGTACATGTACATGTACATTGTACTAAGCTTACATTATATCAATATACCATGGATTTAAAGAAATTTTGCACATTCTGGAGCAAAATATTGGTGTTATTTTGGCAAAATATTGATGTCATTTTCGACACAAGCTAGCCATATGGTTTAAAAGCTGCTCCGAAGACAGAAAGGTTGCCTACATTTTGGGGTGTGTTTTTTTGTTTTGCTCTGACTAGTTTGGTTACTTTTGATGCATGTTTGATTGTTGATTGCAAAACATGTACCCATTGACCATTTTGAAAGTAAACTGAAGGAAAAAAAAACTGTTACTTACAATCATGAGTTCCATTTTTTGGTTCAAATTTTATGAAAACCCCTCGAAAAACATGTTCCGATAAAAAATGACATCACAGCAATATCACCCTCAGTTCTGAGGAAAATACAATGGAAATTGTAACAACTGACAAAAACTGCATTTGATTGGATATTGAATTATTTTCATAACAACCAGTTACTGTATGACATTTGCACGGCACGATTCAGGATAAAATTCTTCTAGGGTTCCCTTTAATTTCAATCCTTGTCTTTTTAAAATTGACATTCCTTGGTTGTACATTGTATATTGTAAACATTGCGGCAGAGCTCCACACTTTTCCTTTTGGAAATTGTTTATTGTTTTTATATAATCTGGATGAATCAACCTGGTATCGCCAGCCAATCGTCATGACGACACTGTATGACTCACGTTTTATGTGATTCTAAGTATCTGCACTTGAACCAGCAGGATGAGTTAGACTGGCCATGAGTCTCTTCACATTTGTATTGTGTACAGAATATTGTGTTTTTAAATAATGTTATTTGCTAAATATGTATGTAAACTGTACATGTACCATCTTTTGATATTCAACATATCGTACATCCATTATGCACATGTAGCAAATTATATATTTTTAAAATGGAAAGTGAGAAGTGTAACTTATTGATTTTAATTAAATTTGCAGTTTCACTTTTCTGGATTGTAAATTTCTATTAATAGGCCTAATAACACTGGCTAATGTAACTTTAGACGGAAGTTGGTTACGTATACATTAAAATTCCAATTTCCATGAATTGGCGGTCATTTGAATCAATTAAAAATTCAAATGTACAATATGCACCACCATGCTTTTTCATTGAAGGGGCACTCGTCAACTTGCTGATTGAATTCAGCTCAAAATATTTTGTAGCACCGGTAGCACTATCATACTAAGACAAATCCATTCAGACATCTTGTTATGAAACAAAAATCATACCTGTACCCGGTACTTTTGCACCTTCTTCCCCCAAAAGTGAAAGTTGTCTTTGCCAAGTAAGCCTATCAATAGAAAATGTTGCCATTTGGTGATGCAGTTTTGGATATTAAGTGGGATTTGCAGCCCGATTACAATGTAGCGCTGTAATGTGAATAGAGGTTTGTGCATTTACGGGTTGTGCAGGAACAGGGCAGCCAATTGAAAACAAACATGGGTACATGGGTACCCGTTAAAAAACCCACACACCAAAATTCAAATCTTGGAGGTTGCTGTTCAGATTGTTTCAAGTAACAGTCTGCACGATAATGCTACCACATCACGTTAACAGTTTGGTAATGGTACACGGTTCCAATGCACAGCCTGTTACAACTGATAATGTAGTAACCAACTGAAAATGTATCACCAACCGATAATGTCTCACAAATTGACCGATACCATATCACTAACCGATAATGTAACAGAAATTGACCGATAGTGTAGTAAATGTTACTACACTATCGGTCAATATTTGTTACATTATCGGTCTTAACCGATAATGTACCAGTAACAACAATCAACTGTAGTACATTTTTACTACACTATCGGTCAATTTCTGTTACATTATCGGTTAGTGATACAGTATCAGTCAATTTGTGTGACATTATCGGTTGGTGATACATTATCCGTTGGTTACTACATTATCAGTTGTAACACAGCCCTTATTGTGAATCACATGAGTTCAGCACAAAATCATCAGTGTTCATAATATGAAATTTTTGGATGCATTTGTTCAATATGTGGGTTGGGAACTGTCAATATATTGATGTACCGGTACAAATACAAAGTACATGTAGGTCAACGTGTGAGTGCATAGACATTGCGTACGGACAGTGTATATTGTGTACAAGTTGCATTTGATATGCATTCAGTTAGTGTGTTTAGGGAGACTAGTGGCCAGTCTACCCCATGCCTCGCTGTCTCCTGATTTGAGCATCTGTGACAGCCAGCGTGCACAGTGTATTTTGGTGTGGCATGTGTGTTACATTTCTCCCTTATTGCACAAACGGAGGCGACCTCTCTTTTCCGATCATCTGGTGTGGGGATTCTGCACCGACATGCAGCACAATCTTTGTCTACTTGAATTTTCACATGCAGTTTTAACATCTCTGAAGTGGAAATTTTAGAGTTGATGGACATTCTACATTTTTGTTCAATGTACATACCGTATGTAAAATGTTAAGACAAACCATTCATGAGCTTGTCAAATGTCAGCAGTCGATATGGTAAGTACGGTACCTGTACAATGTAAATGTGTACAATGCATGCTTAAACTAAAGATGGAGTGCGGTGAACACATTTTTGTCTCTACTCCAAACTCTCTTGATTTATTTTCTAGTAATTGTCTTGTAAAATTGAGTGCTTTTAAACAACTGAGTGGCTTGGAGTTCTACATGTACATGTAGGTGTCTACAATGTACAATGTACACTACTTGTACTAGTGTTCTGTAATCAATTGTAAATGTAGGCCCTACACGTAGAATGGCTGTGTTCATTGTAGATCTCATTCGAAGGAATGCCTTTGTTTTGTGTAAATGTATAAAAATACATTTTCCTTTTTAAAAATTTAGTGGCGTACAGTATGTATCCAAGGACTGCCGGATCGTCTGTGCATAATTACTGCACACAGCACGTTTATCTGGTGACAGCTCATATGAATACCAAATCAGCCCAACTCTGCAAAGTGTTTTTTTCACATGTAGATTTTATTACAAAATTAATGGTGCCTAGCCGTGCATGATTGCTCTTCACTGAAGAGATGCAGTAAGTTGATAATCCACATTTTATGCGGTCTTTGAATTCAACACTTTACCCTTTTACGCACCCACTGATTTGTACCCAGTTTTAAATCTCAACAGATTTTTTTTAAAGGTTGGTCATTCCCGAACCAAAGTGTTACACGTACAGTTTCCTGTCCCTGTTACCTCAGAACTTGTTTATTTCAGGCATGCAAATTTCCATCGGATCAGCTGATTGCTTCTCTTTTATGCCATTAAAAATTGAAAAGCACCGCAGAGAATCTTGTAAAGCTTGGTATTTCTGTTTTTTGGGTAACTCCCCAAATGCATGCCTGTAATTTGCCTCTGAAGTATCATTCAAAATGCTTTACATGATTCGGGACAAGAGACATTAAGGAATGCATCGAGAATTTAAAAAAAATTACATGTCAGATGTAACAGGGACAGAAAAAAGTGGGCTACAAATATAGAATGACCCAGATTGACATGTGAGTTTACAGATACTGATGCAACCAAAGTGGCACTGTTTAAATTCATAGTTTTAACATTTATAACCGTTATTTTTGGATTATTTTCACCTTGTTTATGAACTCGGAATTTTCCCTTCACCCATATTCCAATAGAAATATATTGTGCGCATATATACACTTATTCATTTTCCAAAGAAATCTCCTTATAAAAAAAATACCATACTAAGCTCCAGGGTAAATATTTCACAGCGGAAAATATGGAAGAGTTGCATACATGTACATATTCGTAGGCTAGTGTAAGGTGCAGATTATCTGTAGCTGATGATAGCCTCACTCCTGTGGCATACATTATAGTCATCATCATCCAGTGATTGAATTATTGATTAGGCTTGTCACAGTTCACAGCTGCCTCAAGGTCTGTTCGGAAGCAGTGCTAGATATTGGAGGTTGCCCCCTCCTCTTGCTGCAGTTCATGTAAACCCGGGTAATGTCAAATAATTTCATCTGAAATGCATGCGTGATCCAGTCACCCGCCGGCTTTTCATGTTTTATTCAGAGACTGGTGTGTGTAGAACTTACTGCACATAGGGGTATTTTTTGCTTCTTTCAGGTTCTGGCGCTTTTGGCAAATCTCCAAATTCTAATCAGAATTATTTATTTCTGCTAAATAAGTGTTTACCTTCTTAGAGTTTTAATAGGCATTCTCCTGAAGACGGTCAGAGCATACTGACCGGAACGTCGAGTTTATACCTCTGGTTCTTTTCAGAAATGTTCTCTTAGTTGAGAAATTATTCGCACATGGTGTTTCCGCAAACCTTTCATTATTTAGTATCTCCACCATGCAAAGCCTCAAATCTCACTTAAATTCTAATCAGTTCAAAATTTGCTGTTGATGGTTTTTAATGATAAAAAAAATAACTGCCGCAAAATTTATGAGTTGTCTTTCTTCTGGAAGCCTTAATTTCCACCGGTCAGCATGTAAAGGGGAAACAGCTTCTGTTGAAGGTTAAAAGCTGGCATAAAAGATGTATTTTGACTTTCTGTGTGAAAAGTGTGATGTTTTCCATTACTCTGAGATCTGCTGGCAAACAATCTCAGAGCCATAGTGCAACATTTAAAAAGTTCTTTACAATTCCTCATCAAAGCTGTAACAAGTATTTTCTTCTTTATATTTATAAACCTGATGTAGTTGTATTATCTCTCAAATATTCCATTGCATCCATGGAAACTGGCCCCAGGTTCTAGTGTACAGTATCCGATCAATTATTAGCTTGACATATTTTAGACAAAGAGAATGCATGGCTAAGCACCCATGACTGATACGACCAGTCAGTTGCCATGCTTCAACCATTCCTGCATAAACGAGCTCTACATTCATAATATAGATGCTTGTACTGTAGGCCTATAGTTTTTGCATTGCTCTATTTTACTATCTTTGTCTCATTTCCAGTGGTGCATGTAGTTTGCTTTACAATGTACGTATGTTCATGTTTTTACAGCTTCAAAGTGGCATACTGTCTTGTTTGTGTTTCTTACATGATGTAAATAAAGGCAAAATCCAATTTATTAAAATTTAGGATTGTCCCGAATACATGTATACCCAATACAGTCGACTCTCGTTAGCACAAACTCTGTTAATACAAAATTCTGGTTATAACAAACATAAAGCCTTGGTCCCGACTGTGCATTTACGTGCACAATGAATGGGACTGATGTTCCTCTTATTACAAAATTCTGATATAACAAACAATTTGGCTAGGTCCGAACAAGTGTGTTATAACGAGAGTCGACTGTATTCAAATATTTGATCATCAACCGAATATTCAAATACATGTAGCTTTTTGCCACTTAAAATATTCGGGGGGGGGGGGAACTACGCACCCAGTTGTACACACACGATTGTGATGTTACCTTATCATACAGTTGCGGCATTTTATTGTCAAGTGCCACTTTTTTGGTGGACAGTGACTTTTTTGTCGACGGGTGTTCAGTGTTTCTATCATTTTAGCAGGTTAGAGCCCTTTACAGTCCTAATTTGTTTACTGCGAAACAATCCATGTCAATCTCCGCATGCAGATTTGAACTACATAGCACCGGTACATGTTATGCGCTCTGCGTGCAACTTTTGACTAGCTTGACACTCAGTTGCAGCTGGTAGTTTTGAATATCTGAATATTTGGTCAAACAAGTTTTGAGTAATCAAATACTAAATTATTTTAAAATGAACAGCCCTCTTCAAATTTTTGAGTCTGCCTTTTTCTTTCTTATGTTTCATGCTGATTGTTCCTTTTTATTGATGTAACAAAAGAGCTGTGCTGTTTTAGGCCAAAAACAAAATAGTTCTGCTTCCGATTACATGGTATTTGAAAATACATGTAGGATAGGTGGGTAGGGAAATATTTTTTTTGGGAGGGGGCAATTTTTTTCTGTATGATCATATGGTGGTGTCTGCGTGTAGTCAAGGGTAAAAAGGTAGTAACTGATGGTTTTCTAGGTTGTTTCCTCATTCCCCCCCCAAAAAAAAAAATTAGGGTAGGGGCTGTCAAAATAAGGTACATGTAGGTAGGGTAACCGGAAGCAGTAATATATTTTTTGGCCTGATCAATATGCACACAGCTCTACCGTAGTTCCGCAGTCATTCTTTTGTATCCTTCTCTTTGTACATTTACATGCATGAAGGCTCAGGACAAATATGAGGGAAATCATATCTTGATTCTTTTCATATTCCTTTCATCTTACAGAGACTCTGAAGACATCTCCTCTGATGCATCTGTCGAATCAAGCACTTTGAAGAAGGGGCAGCAAAGCCGTACAATCCGTCCAGGTACCGTACATTGTACATTGTGCTTGTGTTTTTGGGCAAGACACTTTACTACAATTGCCTCTCTCAACACCACTTGCCACAGTAGTATTAATGGGTACCTGTGAAGGTAGAGACCAGAATGCGCTGATCTCGAGCTGCTGCATAAGCACCACATTATTAATATGATTTTTACGTACATGTACCGTACATGCACCGTACATGCACATGATGCTGGCACCACGATGACAAAAAGGTCCCTGCACCGAGTGTCATGTTCACAGTGATTCGCCAATTATTAACAGACCCACTGACCCTCGGTGTCACAGTCGAAAAAAATGTTTACATCTGGAGTGAGGTTATGACAAATTTGCAGAAATGCCTCACATACCACAAGATGTCTGAACACAAATATTCAGACATACAGTAGCAAAAATGTATGTCCTGAAAGTTTAGCATGTAGCAGATCGTACATGTCATATCTTGGATGTAACAACAAAATGGTAATCCTGTTCTACATGCAGAGGTACAGTGCATGTAATAGTTTTGGGTTTACCGCAGGATCTTCCTGTTAGATGTTTTCTCTTGTCAGATTGACGCAACAGTAAGTACTTTTGTTGCCTTCCATAACAGGGAGATGACCAACTGAATGTAGTGCACAGTGTGGATAGGGTAATCAGTTGCTGCTCAATAAATCATGTCTCTCCGTTAGTCCGTTAGTTAGTTAGTAACAAACGTTGACATTGTCTATTGCTCCTACATATTTTGACCGATTTCAACCAAACTTTGTCAAAAGTATCAGTAGCCTAGCCCCAATATGTCACATGACCAAACCGGGGTCAAAGGTCATCATGGGGTCACTGGAGTCAAAAACCTGATATTTTTTACTGAAAACACTACTCCTTCCAGAAATTACATGGCACAATCACGTGACTCATGCATGAACACGAATTTGTTGGCCAGCAGCTTCCGAGATATTTCCGATCATGCTTGTTTTCTTCTAAGAAGTACAGATTTTTTTGGGGGGGGGGGAGGGATTGTCTCAGGTCTCTTACAGTCCAAAACTGTGGCAAATTTCATCATCCTTTTGTCTGAAATTCTAGGCTACATTTGCATGCATGTTCATTTTACAGTGGTAATATTTACTTACAAAATGTATTCATGAGGATTTTCGTCTAATAAAAAAATAAATAGTATAATGCAGGTACATAAGTAGTACCAGCATGTCTACATACAAGTACATGTAGGTCAAGGATGGTACAAGCACCCGTGAACCTGTCTGAAATTGATGTTGCATGCATCAGCGCATTCCATCTCCCTGTTAGCATGCAATAGGATTGCTCTTAGTCATGCTGACACAATTCTCGGCCTGGAGAAGACAAGCTGACGCACACATTACACACAACCCGGATGAAACCCGCAGACTATGAGAAAGGTCACGGAGCATTGACTGATGCATTGTCAGTCTGTGCAAGCCGGTCTTAGGGAACAAGACATCCACACTTTATTGTCCGAGGTCTTCCCAAATGACTTGGCTACGGCTTGACATCACACATGCGTCTATGGAAGCGGTTGAAGCCGTCTCCCATAGACACATGTAAGAGCTGGTCATAGCCGAGTCATTTGGACGTGGCCTTAGACAGGGACTTTCAGCTGTGTATACATTTTGTACGTTAAAGGGTCCGTGCGATGAATTCTTCTGAGGAACACATTTTGTGCAACTTTCTACTCCTTTTTAAATGTTTGAGCATTATTCGACATCCCTTTTTGTTAATTTTATTGAAAAGTGCACATTTTTAAACATTACAAATTGTTCATTCTTTTCCGGACAACTGGGGGCACTGTTGCTGTGATGTCATTTCAGGAAGACACTGTTCAGTTGAGGGTTTTTTCCTGTTCATATCGTTAACCATAGAGCTATATTAAATTACTAGAGCGCTAACTCGTTGTACAAAGTAATGCCTGCTGGGTGCATCCATGTTTGTGCACAAACCTATGGAGACCTAGAAATTTTGTACGGCTTTTGTACGGCTATTTGCATATCTGCGTTTGTATTCCATACCGGTGCGTTATCGAAGCCAATATGCCCAAAACTGAAACGCACGATCAGCAAATAAGCGTGTAATTTTGCTCTACGCAAACAGCGCAACGTGTGCGCGTATTCGCTGCAGATGCTTTTTGCTGTCACGTTTTTTTGAACCGTCAATGACGCGCTTAAGTTGTTTGCGTGTGTTCTACTTGCGCGTTGCATGTAGAGTACACTTTCAAAATTCAATCCATCTAATTTCATTATGTTTTACAAACACGCACATGAATTCAAAATGTCTGCGCCCAGGACGGCTTCAAAGCGTCTCCTCGCACAGAATGATGAGTTAGCGTTCTAGTAATTTAATATAGCTCTATGTTGTTAACCCAAAAGTTGCTCATTGAAAACATTGGTGAGAAAGACTTGATCATTGGCTTACTGCCATTTGCTTACACAACAACGAATCACCAAAGAAAAGAAAATTTATGACAGCAAAATATCCAAATTTTTCTAACAATTTGTTTGTGCTGAAATAGCTGTAACATTGAGGTTTCTGCCTGGAATGAAATCACAGTTTTGCTCATGAATATGGATGTTCACATTAGCAAAGCAACCAAAAAGGTACCAAAATACCCTTCAAAATGGCAAAAAAACACTGAAAATCAGGTTAAATGGGACACAAAGGTGCCTTTCCAAGGATTGCATTGAAAAAAAAATGCATTGCATGGGCCCTTTAAATTCAATATTTGGTTTTGCCCTTCACCAACATATTTTATGAACACTGTACATGTGTATTCAGTGTTGTCTGAAGGCTTACAAAAAAATCACAAGCTTACTCGGGTGGGACTCGAACCCTAGTACGCAGGAGGTTGTGGGCTCCATTCCCACCCTAATACGCTTCCCAGGGAATTTTTTTCACAAGCACCCAGACAGCACCGAGTACACAGTGTTTGTCAATGCGTCTGCGAAGAGTAGAACTCAATGTTGAATTTACATCTCCCCGATGCAAATTCCATCCTAAAAATAGCCTGTATACTTGTGTTATGTTTATTGAGGTGGAGCAGACTGTCTTGGTCTGAGGCGCTTTGACATCATCACACCCTTTAGGGTGAGGGAAGGGGACAGGATTTCCGCCGTCTGCGGAATGTTGTTTTAATCCACCTACATGTATACTTGTGTGCACTTGTACATGTACATGTTTCCATATGTCTGGTCAGTCCTGTTGAAAATGAATACAAAAAAACACAAGTGAAGTCACAAGTCATCCAGTTTAAAGTCAAGTCACACTGTATTCAAAGGAGAGCTCTTTGACTATACAAGTACTGGTACATGTTGTTCATCCTCTGCTATACATGTACATGTACCTACATGTACGTATACATGTACCGGTACAGGTACTTGTAAATGGACTTGTGAGTGGACTTGTGAGTGGACTTGTGAGTGGACTTGTGAGTGGACTTGTGAGTGGACTTGTGAGTGGACTTGTGAGTGGACTTGTGAGTGGACTTATGGATGGACTTGTGATAACCTTGGGACTGGATTTGTGATGGACTTGCCAACAACTTTTTGAGGAGAGGCAAAATAAATGGTGGATATATGAAACCTTGATTGGTCTTTTATTGCATGAAAGGAGGACAAATGGTTCATTATATATTGAATAAGTAGTGTTTAGTAATTGGCAATCTGTGATGTTTACACGTGCATGTATGTACCTTATCAGCTATTCTAAAACCAACCTAAACTGAACTGAAAGCTTCAACATCATTATGTATTTAATGCATATTGATCGCTGTTTTGGCTCCAGATGTTGTCTTTGTCTTTTTAAACCATCAGGCCACATACCGGTACTAATTACTTGGCTACAGCTGGCAATTATGCATGTCTCTGAATCCACTTCCCTAAATAGATGTCTGTGTTGTTTTCGGGCTGTAGTCAAGTAATTTAGAAGCAGCATATACCGGTATGTAGCTCAGTATTCCTGTGTTTCTCTTTGCAGTTGCCAAACTCAGGAAAAGATACGACAGTTCAAAGCCCACTAGAAGTGGAAAGCAAGACTCTGATAACAGTACTGATTCCGAGGCTGAGGAGGGACGAGTCCCTGCAAAGCATTGTGGGATGTCAGGAAGATCTCGACTCCAGCGCAATGGAAATGACCATCATGATTCCCGAAGCCCAAGGGCCAGCAGTGGATATGGGCTGCATTCAGCAGAGACGTCCAAGCGGGTATTGAGTGATACACACAAACGAGTAGGCATGGAGAGTGGCTACGGGAACAAGGGAAAAGAAGGGGTCAGCGTGGCTGATTCCACACCGTCAAGGTACACCAAACCACCCAGACACGACAAGGAGAGAGTTGACAGTATCCGGGATGAGTACCTAAACAAGAAGGCTGCTAACGGTGAGATCACGAGAGTCCCGCGTTACTCGCGGGGCCGGGCCTCCACAACTGCCGGTGACAAGGCAGCCGAGAGCGCCATCACGCCAGCCGCCGGCGACATGCTGCTGCGCGATCGCAGCAGCTCTGACTCCTCGGAAGACCCCGAGTCTAGGAAAGCACGCATCGCCAAATACAAAGAGCAGAGGAGGAAAGAACTTGCCGACAAGTATGGACTGAAGGAGGGTGGCTCCACTGCCACAAGCAGCGACAGCGACCCAGCGTCAAGATACAGACGGGACCGGAAGCCAAGGGTAGAGGAGAGCAGGATACCCACTTACGAGAGTCGGACAGAGAGGGGTGACTCTCGAAGGAAGACTTCCCAAGACTCTGCACCTTCAAGTCCACGATCGCCAAAGACTACAGAGGAGCCAGAAGTGACTAGATCAAGTGGGTTGAGGGATCGCTCAGACAGCATCAGTTCAACATCCTCTGAAACAAGGTACAGGCAAATGTTCTCTGTTTAAAGCAGCTAATGGGTACATTTACAGGTAGATGGTTTCTGAATTTGCTGGTTAAAGCAGCTTTAGGGTATAGATTGCCACCCCGCAAAAGTTTGCTAGCCTGATCTAAAAGAAAGTTAATTCTCCCCTGTTATATTTTACATCATCCATTTTGCCTTGTAGCTAAGAACAAAGAAACTACCTAGTTGTATACTTCATGGATTCCTGATCGTTAGAAAAAAAAATAAAAACAGAGAAGATTTAAGCACCACAGTACCAGCCATCTCTGTTCAGTACGTGTACCATGCAATGTGTGAATGAGAATTTTAATGTCTTTTCAAAGCATACTCCTTGGTCTTGATAGAGCGTCCTTTGCATTCTTTACTGAGCATCCCCTATGAAGTCATGCCTGTGGCATTTGTTAATCACACAGTTTACCTGCTTTGCCGCCCTACTAAATTCTAACTGTGTGGAACACCAAATAGGCCAATCCACTTAGCCTCGCCCTATAACGTTTTTACCAGTCACAACTGTGATGTCCAACATGCGTGTACAAATGTAAACAACACAGAAAAATATCCACTTTCATTGGAGGGGTCATAATTTTGAATCTGATCATCTTATGATTACATCATTTGTATAGACCTTTGGGGAATTTTGTTCTACGTTTTGATACCCCGTTTGCTACCAAAGACTCATCCAACATTGACAATGGTTTATCAAAAATGATGCAGTTTGAAAAGTTGCAAATTTAGAGATAACGCAAGTGGAAATTGCTGCGGGACAATGCTACACTGCCCGAAACTTCCGGCAGGGAATATCGATCGCACAGTGATTGAATGCATGAGAGCACGCGAATTTGAATCACGTGCGCTTTGTTTGGGCACTGTGCAGTCGGTAGGGGCTAATTACGGGGATGTGTGGTTACGCTTAGCAGTTTCTCCTTGAGTACTTTTGCAGCTTTTAAAACTACATCCTTTCTGATAAACCATTGTCAATCTTGGACGATTGACAGTCGTTGGTAGCAAACAGGGTATCAAAATGTAGCAAAATTCCCCAAAGGCCTATGTAAATGACATCCTTATTTTGATCAGATTCAAAATTATGACCCCTCCAATGAGTGTTAACTTTCTTTGCGCGTGTCTGGAAAATGTGACACCTGTTATTGCACAGTGAGCGGGCTTAATGGATAGGTCTATTGTATTCCAAACTAAACCATTTAGTTACAATTTAGATTTGAATCTAGATGAGTACAGGTATAGTCATTAGATCAGTTTGCTATATCTTCTTGCTATCTGTACCCTCTATGTTGAAGCAGAGTGCGGAAAGACTCAGTCATCTCTGCCGAGACTCAGCAGCTGGTAGATTCTCTGGAAGCCTCACGAGCAGCACGTAGAGAGAGGTAGTACACTCAGGCACTGTTTCTATTAACAAACTACAAGTACTTTTTAACTAAAAATGCATGCATGTTTGTGTATTGTCACTGACATCACGAACCGACACCCGGTGGTCCTTGAGTTTTCTTGGTTACGTGTGCACCGTAAGTAACGCGTAATTTTGGTTTTCACGAAACTGACATGCAAGTTTACAGTCATTTTTTGTTTGTTTTTACGAACTGAAACCCATCCTTCCCTCAATCCTGCAATATCCTCCAAATGCCTCCATGTAAAAGTTGCATACAGCCCCAATCCTGCGAAATCCTCCATTATTTCTTGAATGTGGTCCTTGGAGGGGTGACCACTGCCTCAATCCTGCAAACTCCTCCAGCAATCACTGTCAACATGTTGAGGCAGAGCCAGTGATATCCTGGAGCAGTGCAGAGGATTTTAAGTATTATCTATTAATCTAGGCCTAAAATTATGTACGGCTGAGCATGAACAACACAAGGTCTGGCCCAAGACCTTGACTCAGTGCATCCTCCAAAATCAGCCATGTCACTTTTGTCATATTGCCTCAATCCTTCAAAGTCTTCCATTTTGCAAAGAAGATTTGGGAGGATTTGGGAAGGGTTGGGTTGGGTTAATTATTGAATTTCTACTTAACTTAGCATCTACTAAAGTCGAGATTGCGTTTCACCGGTTAACAGGTTTACGTTATTGATTCTATAATCCAGGGGTGTGAAATCTCAGCTGTTATAGCTGATTTCAGCTTTTTTCGTTTTGGATTTCAGCTTTTTTTCCCCTCACTTGCTGTGTACAAAAGTGTAGGAGATTTCCAAAGTTCAGTTTTTTTTTTACACCTTTTTCAGCTGTTTTCAGCTATTTTCAGCTAGATTTTTGTCAGAGGTCACTCACACCCCTGATAATCCCACAACTGGTAGATGGAGTAAAAGCCTATAAAACCTTTCAAAACGTTTTCTCCGAATTGTATTTCCGTCACATTGTTTTCGTGTCGGGTCCTGAAAACCAAAATAATCATACGTGCAACTTCACGAAGTACATGTCAGTTCGTGAAAATAGTGATGATATGTACATATTGTTTGTCTTTTGTTGCTTTCCATTTTGACTTGTGGTGAATGTTCACCCACAGTTCTATCGGCCGATGTTGCAACTGTACATTTACCAGTATCTGTAAACATTTTTGTAAATTTAAATTTCACAGTGTTGGCTTATTCGTTATGCATCATCATATTTTGTCATTTTAACTTAAGTTAAAGCCAACCCTGGTTTTGAACCTAGGTTGGATAATGTGCCCCCTACCCCAAGAAAAATAAGTAACTCTGTAAAAAATATTGTGGGTTGCCTGTACTTTTTGCGTGTTCTCATTTTGGCCTGTTTCTCATTTAGTTTACATGATGCATGGTTTTTCATCACTTAGTGAACCTAGTACGACTGTGTAGCATACATGTACCGGTACTCCATTTTTAGGGCCTCATAGCGTTTAGAGTATTACTCATTTTAAAATTGATAGCATTTGGTATAGAATGTATATATTTTATACAGTATTCTGGGTTTTTTTCCTGTTAACTTTTCTAGAATGCGTCGGTCAATATCTGATGTGTCAACGGATGCAACGGAGAAGATCATAGCCAGGCACAGATCAAGGAAGGAGAGCATGACTAGTGAGGATGGCGATATCTGTACCGGCTCTGTTAGAAATACAGGTGCTGTCAGGAATTATACTGAAGTCTTTTGAATGTTACGTTTTAATCCAGGCAGGATTAGGCTTGTGTACCTCCAACATTTTGGGAGTCGATTCTGCTTCCATCCAGAATTCAGTTAGTCTATGGAATAGACGCTTGCAGATTCAGCGATACGCGCAGATTCAGCGATTAATTATGCAAAACGAGACTGCGGCTCGACCTTTCGGTGGGCGCCTTCTATCGGGTCTTGCCTATCGACCCCTCTCATAGACAGCCATCTTCGTAGGAAAATAACAACTGCAGGTCCAACTCCATCAGGTGCGTGTGCGCACAGTGTGCAAAAAATGTTTTAAACGTGCGCATGTTGCTCGAAATTTCTTCGAAATATGGCACAGCCGATGCACGTCACGAAATTTGACGCCCAAAATGCCGATGCACGTGACAATCTGTAGGAAGTAACGTCATTTGAGAGAGACCTATTACAAAAACATGGCAGCCAAATTGGCAAATTGACAGTATAGTCCATGTTGCTGATCGAACTGACGTCACATTTCAACGACCCACCAATCAGATGACGGGGATTTATTCAATCGTTGCATAAATTAAGCACTATCACCGTTCGGCACTAGCACAAAAGTTCATCCTGTAAATACAGAATCCTCAAATATGAATGAACACATGTATGCTCACCGTGTGTACACAGAATCTCATACAATAATGGCTACCCAGTTGCACACATACCTGACTGCCATAATGCATCACAGCACATCTGGGCATACTCACTGAAGCAGTAAATAAGCACGTTAAATTATCCATAAAATATGCAACCGAAATTCTGGAGGGCTCTGTTTCCTCATCTTGATGCCATCTCTGCCACACATAAATCATCCCCAGATGTTAGCGTTTATAAAAAAAAAAAAGCGATGTACGGCTCCCCTCCAAAATAATGCTCCCTGGGAAACTGACTCACTTGAAACAGCCACGCCATCAAACACTATCCGTCAGATGTACTTGTCATGCTTGTAGCTCTAAATAGAAAGGGCTCAACATTCATGTGCGTATATATATGCGGTTTGCTTATTCCCTTTACAGTGCAAGTGTAAAGTGCTGATGGTTAGTCATGTGCATACTTCCGTTGGGGAGCTTCATAGTGTATTTTGTAATTCCTAAAAGCTGGCTGGGTCAGGCTTCCCTGGTCAATTTGGGGATCCCTTCTACTGAGTTCCCTTTTCCAATTTGAATTGTGCTTTGATTAGAGCTCTTGAATAAGGGAATGATATGTTTTGACAGCTCCATTAGTTGCCATTGTAACAGAATAAAATTGCAAGGAAACTATTAGAGATCTTGTATGTATCTACATGCAACATCTGTGACATTGCAAATCTGGCATTGCTACCTCATGTCTCAGCTTATCATCCAGAGGCCTGCCTCGCCAGCTGCCGTCGCGATCCAAATGCGCATTGGACGACACCTATCAGGTGAGCAGTCATACATATTCATTATATATTTTGTATTTTTGGTTCTTGTCAATCCTCAGATGAGAGAGGTCCGGTCGCTCGCGTCAGTGACACCGATTCGCAGGGGTCATCGTCGGCGACATCAGGGGAGAGACTGAGGTCAAAGAGCGAGCCCATCAACCCAGCAGTACTGACAATTGCACATGAACAGCGTAAGGACACAAAACAGAAACCCTGTTGGCTGCTGATTTTGCATAATTGTATACGTTCAATTGCGTGTGAAAAAAGTAATCTAAGTCACGTTGGCTGTTGATATTGTGCTACTTATAACACAAGAAAACTGTTTCTTGGTGAAAGTTATCAAATGCTATGGCTCACTATGTCATGTATGTGTAGTGATCAGTAAAGTGATTATATTGTCATTTGTTGTGGTCAGTCATCTATTGGCAGAAATTACATGTCTATACGAATGCAGGCCTGCGGACACTATACACTCATGAGGCGTGCCCCATTCAATGGAAAAATTGTGCATGCTATTGTACAAAGCAACTGCCCCATGACGGATTATCTGAACAATAGCTAGCACAATAATTACACCATTGAAGGGGGGCCTCCGTGACAGAGTGATAGCGCGCCTGGATTGGTCTATCTTCACCACCCCCCCCCCCCCCACCGCCCCCAAAAAGGATTAATAAAAGTTAAATTAATTGTTATAACAATCCTGTTAAAGGGACATTACAGCCCGGAGTGTGCCCAATTGGGCTTCAAAACGCTTTTTAAACGAAATCATTTTTATTGAAAAGATCATTTAAAAGTAGGATATAAACGTCCACACAACCATCCTTTGAAAACTGGGCATTTTTTTGTGTTATTCTTGCAAGAAACATGCGAGAACGAATTTCAGGGGTCACAATTTTGACGCCGAAAAATCGAGCTGTTTAGCGCTAGTTGTGAATCCTGTTGCACAGTGGTTCGCATTCTGCGGACATGTAAGAAACAACATTTGTGTAGTGGTGCTGTGGGTATTATGTGACACACACACAACATGTACAGTTCATTGAATACAGACGGCTTGAAATACGTATGCTTGTGCCACAAAATGTCCGCCGCGTCCGATGTAAACATCCAGGTTTTTTGTTCTTTTCTTGAAAACGGCAAGACATTAGGTTAGTTTCCTTTTCAACCAGACCTTTTGAAATAGGATAAGTAAACAATCAAAAATATGAAATTTTCTGGGATTTCAGGCCGTAATACCCCTTTAACTTGAGAATGACAGCATATCTGACAGAATTACCGTATAGGCAAGAAGCAAGCTGTTGCATAATTATTTCATCAGATATTTTGATAATTGAGTATACATGTACATCTTGTAATCAGTCTTTTATTCCTTTAAACCCTGTCAAATTCTTGAAAAATCCACCAAACAGTTTTGAGAAATTGGCAGGGTGTTGAAAGCTAGAGCCCAGCTACTATAACTTTAAATAGGACTTGGTCTTTGGTCTTCTGTACATAGAGCATGCAAGTCTCGCCAGTTTACGTCCATTTTTAATGTGAACGTCTTGGTACCAAAACACTGACTAGTCTAGTCACAATTTACCCACTTGTTATCTGCGTGATCGATTAACCAGAAGTTGAGGTCAAAAAATTTCATTTTATTAGTCATCAGTTGGCAATATACTCAATATATTGTAAATTGTAATGCTTTCTGTTCTTTCACAAGAGCCCATTTATTGCCCTTGACTGGATAAGCCTAGTCAGGACACAAAATAAATGCAAAGCTAGTTTGTTACACACGGTGTACACGTAACGGTAAATACTATACATGGCGCCGGGATGTACTGTATTCCTGTGAAGTCTTTCAGGTTTTTTAGGTTGCATGCTCTATTAAAGGATTACAGGGATTTTCAGGGATCAAAGTAAAAATGCCTAGGGTGGTCATGTTGATATTTATAGATCTTTGTCTCAAGTGCTGCATCATGTCTCACACTTGTAAGACGTAACCTTTCCTGGCGTGCCTTGTGTTTGGGTTTCAGGTAAAGCAGAGCCTGAGGAGCCCAAGCCGTCACCAGACAGGGCGGTGAGCACCAAGCAGTCCCGGTCCAGGAGCCGCCGACAGAATGTCTCCATCACGGCAGCCCAGATTAAAGAAGCTAGCGCCATTGGCCAGAAAATGGTTGTAAGTTGATTCTTGTGTGCAATTTGAGACACCCCATGGCAAAACCCAACTGTTCCTGGAATCAGTAAAACGATATTCAATTGACCCAAAAAACCCAAACCCACGAATTGGTTAGTCACTGTATCAAAATGTTGCGAGATTGTGCTCTTTTATCCTTTTTTTGATACCTTACAATGTCATAAGTCAAATTTAACCCTACTATGCGAACATGCATTCCGTGCCAAGTTGTCCTTTCAGTCAAAATCAATCAAGTGACTGTTCACAACAGTTAAGCATTCCCAGCCTACGTAAAGCAAGATTGACTGGCCGTGACTGTGTATGTAACTTTGACATACATGTACGATCTGACTGCTGGTGACTAGCCTTTTTTAAAAGTTTAGCAGGGGAAGTGGATGGAAACTGTGACTGTCTGTGACTGCTTAAACAGCAGGAGGGTTAATCTCTAGTTTTAATAGGGCGAAGAAGAAAAATTAGTTTTTGATGGGCTTGGTAATCTTTGTGTGCTTTTAAATTAGTTTGTTTGCCTATTCACTATAAAATGTCATGTCCCCAAGAAATGCATTGAATTACGACATAACCGTTATGAGCCTACCTTTGCACTTTATTTTATCATTAACCGATAAACAGATCAGATTATAGTGCATTGCAAAGTTATACAAAAATCATTCAAAAGGTCATGAATAAATTTCATGCATAGTATGTGTTCCTGACCTGTATCAAAATAACTGAACAAACTTCTGGCCATGTTTCCCGCAGTGTCACTATAAACAATTACTTGACATTGTAGTTAACAGTTTGGAGATTATCTCTAAACTGAAAAAGGCACTCGAATGCCTCTCAATAGTGCAAATGTTTTGCATTACCATGAGTTACTATTTACAGAGACTTACTTTTGTTGTATGCCTGTACCATGAATCTCCAAAAGAAAAGAGAAAAATCCTTCATGAAAATAGTGAGCGTGATATGGACATCAGATTTACTCCAATGAATTTGCAGTTTTCTTGACATTTCATTCACATCTAGTTTGCATGAGGCGTGAATCTTAAATTAAGCCAAACTTCCCAGGCTGTTTTGCTTTGACTCTTCCTAAATCCTTCAAAATCAACCACTTTTAATACAAGAACTCAACTATAACTATCTCTGTTCACGAACTACGTTCTGCCTCAGTCTTGCAAAATCCCTGAGAGCCTCCCGGTAGCTTTGCAAGGATCTAGGAGCATTAGGGTTTAATCTTCACTTTGACCTCTCATCTAAAACACCAAATTTAGAATCAAGGCCTTAAAAGTACATTGCTGGAAGATTGGCTGCTGAAAGACAGAGTCCCTTAGGTCAAGGCCTTTTGCGGTATCACTTGTTGGGAGACTACGTAGTTGACAAGTTGTCACCACTGGTGACCTCCCATCCCTCAGTTTCCTGCCCAGCTGTAAGCAGAGGAAGTCTCGGGTCTCTAGGGAATTAGTTCTGGGGTTTTCATCATTTTAACACAGCCGAAGGTTTGGGAGGACCATAAGCAAGCAGTGATAAAAAAATGAACGCGTTTCCATGTCCCTGGATGCAGGCATGCAACTTTTCCTCGGATCTGCTGATTTCCTTGTTTCTCAACTCACACTTACGCCATTCAAATTGAAAAGCACTGTATAAAGTATCGTTGCGGTTCGCGGTAACACCATGTGGTAATAACTACTGTCACTCAGTAGATATGTAGTTCTGATAAGAACTTGTCCTGCTTATTAACTTTTGCTAAGTAGTTTTTAGTTCGGATAAGAACAGTCCTGCTTTTCTAAACGAACTTGTCTTTGGTCTCAACATTTGACTAGCCAGCTCTTGTCATTGTCAAGAGACTGTATAAAGTCTTGTGAAACTGGGAATTTCCTTTTTGGCTTTTTTTCAAATTTTCGAAAAAGCCTTTGTTTTTGTTCTGATTTTTTTTCCTTTTCTTTATTTCTTCTTTTTGTTCCATGCAAAATCCCATAGACTTTGTACACGATTTTAGTACTCGCCACTTTTGGCATTGAACGTTGTCACACATCATTCAAATTAGGCATATGCATTGTCCTTATGGCAAAGTTGTGTCTCATTTTTTTCTAAATTCCCAGTTGCTTGCCTGCAATTTGTAACGGATTAACTAAGTTTTAATTCTGAACTGCCCGCCGTGATTGTCTCGCTCCTTACCGGTACCTGTACAGTATTCAGTAGTTCCATGCATTGTTTAGTACTCATACATTATGAAAAGAATGGGTTTTCTTTTTCAAGAACAAAGGTAGTGCAGAGTGTAGTTAATTTGTAACCTTTAAATGCTACATACCGGTAGACAATGAAGCTGTAAAGCAGACCACTTTTGATGGTTGATTTTGATTATAGCAGCCATATACCAGAATGCCACATAAATGTAATTTTCTTGGTGAACTGACTAGGCATGTACTTACTGACTCACTGTCACTTGGGCAGTGCTTTTGTATAGGATTACCCCGTGACGCCAATAAATTGCTAAATCGGTCACATTATGCAGACTGATGCACAAAATGTCTTCCAGTGAAAAGCCTTTCTGAATCAATCGGATAGAATGTTGCCTTGTCTTGTTGGATATGTTTATGAAACTGGTTCTGGTGTTTATTTTTCCAGGAGCGGAGACTCTCCCTTACCAGCAGCACTCAGTCTCCCACATCTCCATCCAACTCAGACTCCGGTGATGCCGTCAGGAAAGAGCCATCAAGTGCCACGCCAGAAGTGTCTTCAGGCAAAGAAAGTGATGAACCTGAGCCCAAAAGTGCCTCCCCCTCTAAAGAGACACGAGTGCCAAAATCTGCAACCAGGACAGCTATAGGCCCAGGTCCTTCAGAAGATTCAGTGTTTGCTGTCGCCAGTAAAACAGATACTATAGCTCCTGAGGAAAGCAAAGTGGAGGAAAAAATTCAGTCAACCACTGCAGACGCTACACAAGCAAAACCAGTGCAAGAAAAACCTTCAAAAGTCAGGGATAGAAAGGAAGTTTCCTCAAAAGCTGCAAAGTCACCCAGTCCACGAGTCACTTCTCCTGAAAAGTTAGAACCTGGAAGGAAGTCGCCTGAGAAAAAGACGGGAAGCAGATCCCCTGAGAAGACATCAAAGGGGTCTCAGAGAACACCACGTGCATCCAGCACTGAAACTGACATGGGTTCGTCGAGCAAAGTGCATCTGAAGCGTCCGCAGATCCCACAAGTATTGGACGAGGTTAGAAAACGACGGGACTCAAATGGGAGCAACTCATCTTTGAGCGACGGAACACTGTCGCCAACTCACCGACTCGCCAAGGCCAAAGGGTCGGATAGTGACTCTCGAGCATCCCCGACATCCCCGTCACCGGTCCACAAGTCAAGCCGGAGAATCACAGAGCCCTCATCTCGGATTCAAGAACTGGCCAAGCCGAGGAGAGTGGAAGCAAAGAAAGAGACTGCAACAAATGGTGTAGATTCAAAGAAATCTGAGAGAAGAACACCAACATCCCCAGAGAAACGGATCAAAGCTAGGGCAGACATTGCTATCCATTCCAGGACAGAAAATGGTGTGGTAGTGGATAGAAACAAAGGAAGAGACAGTCCCAAGCCTAAAGAATCTAAAGAAGTGACTGTATCAACTAAAATTACACAAAAGCCACCCTCATCCAAAGAGAAAGTGCCTCCCCAAGTGAAAGCAAAGGTGACTTCTAAACAAACCTCAAAAGTGGAGACAACAAGGCAAACAAAACCAGCCAAGGATGCCCCCAAGACCGCAATCAAGACACAGAGTAAAAGTACCAAAGCAGAACCAAAGAGCAATGCTGTTAAGCGTCAAACTTCGTTCAAATCGAGAAAGTCGCCTGATACTCCAGAACAGACTGACGTCAAGAAGGTTGCCTTGGCAACCAAGGATAAAGAGTTGATGGCAGTGATGCGGGCTCGTGCCTTGAGTCTCCGAGACAGTGACGAAGAGGAGGAATCTGGAGTTAGGCAGGAGGATGAGGCCAAAGACCAGGACCAGAAACCGGAAGATGTCATCAAGGTCCCTGTTGCCCAGAGACTGCAGGTCTTTAGGAGTGCAGAGAAGTTGGACATTAAACCACCAATGCCTCCAACATCGCCGGGTTCCCCTAGGTCACCTAGGTCACCAAGAAGGTCTTCTCAGATCAAAATGGAGACCACAGAGCCTGAGTCTCAACGGTAAGTTTGCTGGAGAGGAGGCACTTGAGGAATTTTAAAGGAGAGGGGGGAATTTTAAAGGCTTCTGAAGTAATATTGTGCATGGGGCTGGGTTGACGAGGCCAAACCGACCCAAAACATTATAGATATAAACCGAATCCGAACTGAAACCGATCTGAACTCCTTAAAACCGACCCGACAAAAATTCAAGGAAAACGGCCCGAACCGACCCGAAACCGAACCGACCCCGAAAAAACAAACGAAATCTGGCTTGGGCAACTTTGTCCGCTTTTTGTGGTTGCATTTACCGGCGTCGTGTGAAAATCATCATCTCTCAGTAACTGAATCATACCATAGGGTACTCACAATGTGACCTACTGGTGGGCCTGCATGTTATAGACTGTGCGTAATAAACAGCAAACCACATGTGGTTGTACCGGGCACAATGACTCTGTAATAAATATTGAACCGTGTGAATTTCCAAACTGTTATGTTTTTTTATTTGGTTTATTTTGTTTTATTTTGGGTTTTTCCAAAATGGCTTAACCGACCCGACCCGACCCGAAACTCGCAAACGCAAAACCGGAACCCACCCAACCTGACTGAAATGATGGACACACCGACCCAAAGTCGGTTTCAGGTCGGGTCGGTTTCAGTATCGGGTCACGTTTGCACAACACTATTCAGCACACATATGGAATAGATCCAGACACTTTAAAATTTCTTTAATTGCCATCAACTTGCTTTTAGACATTGTCCAATACCTTTTATTTATTTCCAGAACTCCAACTGAAAAGTTGAGTGAGGCAGAGGCTGAACCAGACGAGTTAGCCACACTGACTGTTTCAGAAAAGAAGCAAATGTTCACACAGATCTCTAAGCAAAAAGACGAAGAGGTCGCCAAAGCTAAGCCACGCAGACGCTTCCACCGCATACGCAATAGTGAGCGTTCACAAACTCAGCCTGTCACGCCGGAGGAATTTAACTCGGCGACGTCGTTAGCCAACCTCAGTGCCGGTGAAAGCACCTTGCCAGCTGTGAATGAGGTGGAGGTTGATGAAGATGATGCCTCCCGGTTGAGCCTGGCAGAAAAGATGAAACTGTTCCATCAAAAGGCAGAGGTAGACAAGCCCCCACCCAAGGCCGAAGTCCCAAAACGAAAGAAGCGCACTGACTCCAGGTTTAAGACCCAACCTGTGACAATTGATGAGGTCAAGAAGGCCACTGGAATCTCACCTTTGATGCGTAGCTTCACAAGGCCACCAGATGAGGTAGCTGGCTTACCCCTCCAAGAACAAATTGCTCTTGTTTACGGCTCGAAAGAAAGGCTGGAAAGAAGGAGTTCCTTGAAAGATGAGAGGCATCCACCTTGTAGTGGTTCCGAAACAAGCTCCCCTGAGAAGAAGGGAATTCTTAAAGAGCCTTCTTTCGAGAAGGCAGACTCCAGTTCTGATGAGCCGCCAAAGAGCATTTTAAAGTCGGACTCTGAGGTCAGCTATGACAAGCTGCAAAGGGGACGTGGCATACTGAAAGCCGAAGATGCACCCACTGTTCAGTCAGACCCTGAAGTGAGGAGCATTCTGAAAGACAAGAGTGAATCCCAGAGTTCTGACTTGGAGGAGACGAAGAGCATTCTTCGTAAAGATTCCAAACAAGAGAAGGATGACACCGACTCGGACCGTGCTGACAAATCCATCCTGAAGAAGGATTCGACCTCTGCGAAGCCCCCTCTTCAGTGCATCATGCGGAAAACCTCAGACACTGTCTCCGCTGAAGGACAGACAGATGCTTTGAAGCCAGTGGATAGTCCAAAGAAACCTGCCTTAAAGAAGGACGATTCAAGAGATTCAGACTTGGACAGTGGAAGTGCCAAGCCTCCTCTGCCAAGCATCATTCGGAAAACCTCCGAGACTGTTTCTGCTGAAGGAGAGAGGGGTGATTTAAAGCCAAAGGATAGTCCAAGGAAAGCTGCCCTGAAGAAGGACGATTCTCAGGATGCTGATGTAGATAGCGGAACTGATGACCCAGTCAAGAGAAAAAGTGGATTGGCTATGGAGCAGCTTCGACTCCGAAAGGGAAAGGTGAGGTTGATTGTTCCTGACCCCAAAACAAATATTGATTCACATCATGAGACAGTTATCTCAAACAGGGTTTCAAAATCCTACAGTGAATAAAGGGTTACATTATACAGTCCTTGAAAACTTGATTTCCAGATTTGTCTTAAATTTAAAAAAGAGTTTAGCGCAACAAATTGGATGTCAAAATGTAGCCTAAAGGGTGTCCAAAAGACAACCACACACCTGGCTGAAGTTCGACCTTCAAAATCAGTGCCATCTCAGGCTAATGTCGGGGATGCAGTCTGCTTGACTTAGCCATCTCTCTTTTTTTTTTTTATTTAGTAGGAGATAGGAAAGCTGGACCCTATTATTTCAAAGAAAAATTTAGATATATTTTTAATTCTCTTGGATGCTAAATTGAAAACACGAGAACGGGAAAGAGCTCAAATTCACAATTTTAGTGCATATGAGGGGGTGATACATTATTCCCGATACAAAAGGGTTTCCCTACAGAATTTAACTTAAATTTTCAAGATTTGAGCAACTGCAATCATGTTTTTTCAAAACTGTAAAATTCACCAGATGTTTTTTGTAGGAAACGGGAGTGTCCTAGCTCGCAGCGTTTTAATGGACAAGCAACGTGTAAAGCAGTGAAACGCCGCAGTAACGAACACTGCTATCACAAACATTAGGTTATAAAGAACATCCCCATTGGCTCCCGAAATAGTTAATTCTTTATAATGCACAATCACTATAACGAATGACCGCTATATAAGTAATATTTTTTTATGGACCGCATCGTTTTTGTTGTAGTGGCGTTCTACTGTTATACCGGTACATGTACTTCGGTAATTCTAAGATAACGACTTGATAATGAACTCGACTTTTTGAGGCTGTTCCACAGCGATTTGTAAAAACTAAAGCCTAATGTACGAGTATTTTACAGAAAGGCACAAATGATCACAAATACTGATAGTTTTCTTTTAATTTAAAAAAAAAAACCCACCATTCCCCCCCTCCCTGAAAAACCTAAACTATACAGAATTTTGTCCGCACCCCCCCCCCCAAATTGTTCAGAATTGGTCATTGACCAAGCGCTGCGGTAATGAATATAAATCCCAGATGTTAGTGGCAGTCTCCTCCCACCCACTGAACTAGATCACAGGAAGTGTAGTACACCAAGGGGTGGGATTATAATATATCCCAAGCTATGACGTTCGCTGACCCCCCTAGTCTGCCTTGGGCCATGTGAATCACATTATACCCGGCTGTGTGGACGCGCAGAGAAAGAAGAAGAAAACACACGGTTGAATGGTTGGATATATGTCACCAGGCTCCTAATTAGGGCTAAAAGGATCCCGGTGTAAAGACTGAGGTAACGGTATTAAGTGGATTATAAAAAAAAAAAAAGTCGCGCGAGTGCTGGAAGGGAAAGTTGTGGCAGTGACGTAGTGCGAGCCATGTATGGTCATGGACCGGATGACTTCTAGCGAGCAAGGAAAAGTAGGCGGACACTTGACTGTATATGGCAGAATTGAATTTGAATTCTGTTGACTTTCGCCGTACAGCTTCATAATTTGTGAGTGGACACTGCCTGCTTACATGTGCATGCTTGACCGTGAGTGATAAAACAACTGGCAAATATCTAGGAGCCGACATCATGAAACTTTACGCGATGGAGTAACTCCACTTGCCTGTACAGCCACAGTTTATTGCGTAAGTTGCGCAACATTTCACGTGGCAACATATTTCACAGTGCGTAAACCTGCACTGTTTCGTGAAATTGGCTGCGGGTGCATAATTGTATGTATAGACTTAACAGACACCAAGAATTGGAAGCCATGATTGAGCTGGCACTTTACACTTGCGCGTAGGTGATGCGTGCGCATTTGGTGTTCTTTTGACAAATGGGATTTTCAAAGTATGAGTGTGGTGCCGCTTCATTGGCGAATTTGTCCTACACAAATCTGACACACAGCCCACCCATAAAGGACTTTCATAAGTTCTTGATGTCTTTCTGTCACAGGCCAGTCTGAGGGTTGAAGGCTACTCCAGCTCTGACTCCGAGCCCGAGGTACGAGCCAGGGCCAGATCAACCCCAAACTCACCCATCGTTGAGATCAGAACAGTCAAGAAGAAGCAGATTCCGGAGTTGGACATCACTAAGAAACGGTAAGTGATTCTGCCATTTCATTGAACTTTTTCCCCCCTTTTCAGTTTTAAAATTTATTGAAAAACCACTTGGCGTTCCGCCAGAAAAGCCCACACAACTTCTGACGTACTTCCAGTGGGGTCCCTCGGTAGAAGTAAAGAAGAAAATTAACATTTCTAAAGGTAGGAGAAAAAAACACTGAATGACATTCCAGGGTAAACCCTTGAAATCAGGTGGGGATTGAAAACCCAAATCCACATATTGGCCCAGGCTGGATTCGAACCCAGGATGAAGTGGTGGAAGGCGAGGAAAGTACCAATATTACCTGATCCCTCTAGCAGTATAGCTTTTGCTAGACTAATGAAGTCTTAATTGCGTGCTCTCCCAAAACTCTGACTATGGGCTCTGTGCACCAACAAAGAGGGCGCCCTTTTACCTAGCAACAACGTCCCATGGGCGGGACATTTCGCTGGTTGACGCGTACCGTTCCTTGTGTGTGACACACGTACACCAGGGGATTTGTACTATGTGCACGCAGTGGCTGTGCTTCGCGGCAAATGAATTGCAGTCAGGCAAGATGGCGTCGGTCGGTCACCCCCAACTGTACTTCCTTTGCCGGTGAGGGGGTACTTGTGAACGGAGCGGATATAGAATCAATTGTGTCAAGTAAAAAGAGACGAAACAATACGCTAGGATTTTTATCAACACATGCTATTTGTAACTGATATGTTGATATCACTTAGAGATCTTAGTACATACAAAGAGTCAAAAGATGCTTGCAAGCAAGAAAACTTTTGTTAAATGCTAACATACTCTCAATTTAAAGGTTCATGCTCAAAATATTTGTGTTGCATCCTCTTGTGTGCAATCCCTAAATCAGCACTCAAGACATGATTCTCATCCAACCAGTTAGTGTACATGACGCAGGTCCTAATAGAATGGTTGTCTTTGCAGTATTTAACAAATTTCGAATTAGAAAAAAATAGTTTGCCTGCGGGCACACCTTTTCAAAACCACTTACAGTGATTGTTTTCTTCCAAATGATATCATTTCAGAGTATTTGGCAGTAGTCCTTTCTTCCTTTTGACCGTTTTCTCACTAAATCTGTGGGTTTATTTGAGGGTAATTATCAATGTGCTTACATGTAGGATCATTACAATGACGGACATTCATTGCAAAAATGATGATAAGGCATGAGTCTGGGACTGAGAAATAGTTCCAATTTTGTTAGGAAATACAAATTTTCTTGACTCTCCATAGACTTAATACACAACTGCCGAAGTGCCTTTGTAGCAAAAAGTAACAAACGACAAAATATCAAAATGTTTCTGCACATACCAGTACATGTAGAATACAGCAACCGCCAGTTGGTTTTGCCAGGGGCATACAAGTGGTAACATAAAAGATAGAGTCGGCAACTTTTAAAGGTTCAAGCAAAGGTGATGAACCCGCCTTTATTGTTGTGGGTGCATACCACAAGTACAAATCCAAATACTTCAAAGAAAAGTGCTGGTGAATGTTCAGACTGTTTGGATCAGAACTTACCTAGTGGTTTTGTTCGGATTAGTTTTGGGGAAATTTTTCTAAGGGTGACCCTTTATAACCACAGGTGTGTGGGATTTTCCCCAGTGGTGACAGGCATGGATGACCTGTGAGTAATTCTTTTCTTGGGAAAACCACACAAGCTGCCTTGAATGGGACATAGAAAAAGGTCGTGCGGTTATTTTTAATTTTTTTAAGTAAAGCCATGGAACCTGTTGTAAAAATATGAAAATCTTTTAGTCTTTTTTACTCACATTTGGGCACTTTAGAGGCATTTGTGTAGCTCTACAACTTCAGCTGGGGTACTTTTGTTTTCAAGAACCAGACATCAGGCGTTCCTTACAAGAAAAAATATCCATGCATTGTGCTTTGGTGCAGAATTATGTTGTGAAATGCATGTAAAACGAATAATGCTTTCAAGTTTACTGACAGTGTGCACTGTCTCCATAGATACTGGAACTTGTCTACAGGTATAACTTATCAACAACTGATAAACCTCATAACAGGTTGTTTGCCATCATTAAAAGTAAATAAAAATTCATGTAGCCACTTGAGTGTTGCTAAGCTTCCAAGTGCATGCTCCAATTGCATTTGAAGTGAACGGGTTGTTGATCGGGATCATTCTGAGAAGGACCAGATATGTACATGTACTGGTACCAGTAGTCTACCGGTATAGGTTCATGTTTGTGTCTCCAAGGATTAAACTTAAAGGGAATATACATCATTTGCTTTTGCTGTAATTTTCAGAAATGGATGGAATTGGGGGGTTGGAAATATAAAGCAAATATAGTTACACTGACTTTTTTGAGGTTTTGGGTTCGAAAATGCTATAAAAACCAAGAAAAACGATCATTTTCCTGTAGTCTGGTTCCCTGACTCCATATAAGAAGAAACAGAGCAGTTTACATACATTGGGGAATTGTAAGGTCAGGGAACCAGTCTAGCTGGCTCGTATCCGTTCATAGGTTTGTAATCGATTGCAAACAAGTGCAATGGTCAATTGGGGCCAGTATTTGAAAAAAAGCCAGTTGTTTCCAACGCTGATCGGCCGATCAGCGTTGGAAATTGATACAAAAATACCACTTTTCTTGAAAATGACAGTATACCAGGTGCCATAATTTTACAGGATGCTTTAGACTGTCATTTACCAACATCCTGTTAAGGTATTTCCCAAAAACTTGATAGTTTTATTTTTCGATGTTTGCAAATGTTGTATATTCCCTTTAATACATACACATGTACTTGGCTTTTTTGTAAGGGCATGGAGGAATTCCTCCATGGTAAGAGTATGAAATGCAGTCAACAAAAATGTGTTTGATGTCACAGTGATTGGAACTGACAGTTCAACTAACATTTTTGTCCCAATACAGCGTACTTCTGTGCATTGTATGTAAACCAACCAGTATTTTCTCATGCATGCCAAGACCCGTCATTGTTGATTCTTGTTTGTGAAGCTTTGTTGAGCACATGAATCTGGAATAAGCCATGACCCGGTACATGTACCGTACAATTGTACATGTAGATGTTCACATTCCGTACACGCACTTCAAATTAATGGAATGATTATTGCTGGTACCGGTGCAATAATTAATAAACAAAGTGAACATCTCAATTGTGTCAAGCAGTTGCATCTGCATGTATCTTGTCTGTGGTTTTTTTTTTCATTTATAAACTTACGTAGGTATTTCCTTTGTCTTACTTTCCATACATTTGTTGATGCATTAATCTTTAAAGCACACAGTTGACCAAAACAAAATCTAGGCAAGCAATGTTTTGTCCTATGAGGCTAAGGTTCCTGCCCTCATTTCTTGACCTCATAGCCTTCATATATGCAAAGTTGCATGTAATTTACTATAATTGATACTCATTGTAGCTCTTCAAAGTGATTTAAAGTGCAATTTTGAAATGGGCGTGTACTATTCAATCGGTTTAATGGGGACCGGTGAAAATCATACCAACATACTGGTACATGTACTCGTAGAAATATTAGCCTACATGTAGTTGTCTACCCTGCCTTTTAGAAAAATCAGGGAAACTTTCAAGTTTATACATTTATTTTAAATGGTCTACCAACGTCGCTTCTGTTTTCAGAAACTTGCATTCCTTGTTTTGTTTATGGAAATGACAATGCAGTGTTTTGCCTGATACTAAATTTATGTAACGACTTGACTGGGGCTGTTCTTTAATCCCAGTTCAAATCCCAACAGAAAATAAAATGAACATATGTAGAAGAGGTAACAAAGAAGAAGAAAAATCATTATTTTATTGATCTGTGTGGAGTACGCCAACCAGACATCCTTCCCTCCATCCAGTCGCCCCCCTTTGACCCTATTTTGCCGTTATGCCACCACCTTGCTGAGGAGTCTACATCAAAGTGCACCAAGGTTACACAACCCCTGCAGTGACTGAAACCCACTCACCGAAATCCAAATGTTTTCTGTATACAGTTGTTTTCATCAGCTGGCACGTGTACATTACATTACGGGAGTTGGATGCACTTCAAAGCTCCAGTGGAGCATAGAGTTTGTATGGGGAGGCTGCGGGATCGGACCCAGTGATGTGTGTAACTTCATTTGAATGATAGAAGTAGACTGTGCGTGCGTGTATAATGGGCCTTCACTCAATACAGGGAGCTTGCCAGTTTTTGTGGTAGGACTAGCCAGACTTTTTGTGTGTGTGCCTTCTGTCTGTCTGTTGTGGGCAAAGCAGATGACTGTGTTGTGTTGTATATGATGACTGTGGATGTGTTGTATCCAGCTTAACCCTTCTCTGAGAGGCTTGTTGGGATTGGTAGGCTTATCCTTACCCTGTACTTGGTGATTATCATCCCAATGGTTATTGTGTCTGTTGGAGATAGTGATCATCGCCTTCTGGCTGTATTACTGAGTGATGTGGTAAAAACTGGCTGTCAAGGAGTAAGTGAAACGACACCAGTGTGAAGAGGATCCGTGTAACTTGCAAATTGAGTGTCGGCATACGTGTAAGGGAAAGTACCAGGACAAGTGCATGATATGAATGATATTCTCGGTTTCGTGACTCAAGGAATGAAGTGTATGGATTATTCCAACCAGCTCCTGTGGATCTGTCTGACTCATCCTCTTTGAACAAACAGGACTCCTCTCATGCATTGAATACAAACAAAACAGCCCAGCCAGAAAAAGTTACACGAACGTTGTGTAGTAAGTTCATACTGTACACGTGGAACCCTACCTGAGGCGTGGTAGTACCAGTAGTTGCACCATATCTCATTGATGTTAAATCCAACACTTCAGCCAAGTTTGAGAATACACCATAGATTCGCAATACACCACAATTGAGTTAACACATGTAACACCACCTGTGGATATGTCATAGGAGGCGCAGACGGTATTTACTGAGCCTATCAGCAACAGTGTTAATCCTCTTTCTACATGTACATTCACAACTCATTTGTTTGTTTTCCACTCATCTACATGTGCTATATCTACTGACTCCATGC